GGACTAGCTGGACTCGCCTCACCTGCACCTGCACCAGCTCGCGACAGGCAGTTTCTTGTCGCAACTGTCGCACTGCAGCCTTTGTTATCAACATTACCATGATTACCATGATTACTGACAAAAGATGTTTCGTTTTCCGCTTCAAAGGACATGTACATGTATGTGGTAAAGCAGATGAGCATCACGAGCGAACAGACTCATTGGTTCCGGTTCGCGAGGCTCCTTTCTCGTCGCCTTCCTGGTCTAAAAGCCTGATTCATACTGTCTTCATCTCGCGTACGGGAAACCCATCGCGCGACCGTCGCTAGGCCCAGACAGATCTTTCGGCAAAATATCGAAGAATTAAAAGAGCGGAATCTGGCGGCCGGCAAAATCGGAGCAACATATCGAGATGTTGGGTAAAATCGATGCCTGATACTTGGATTTCCCTGTTTCTTACTCGTTCAGCACACACTGCACCCAGGACGAGACCATGTCACCGAAATATCACTGGGATTCACTGTGGATCGACATGATTTTGGAAGAAATCAGGGACACGTGCGTGGAAACCTGTGTTGAGAAACCGACCCTGCGATTTTTATGAAACGTTGTACGGGATTGTACGGGAAGTGGATAAAATACACGTTTTTCCGGAGGAAAATGGAGCAAAATATCGAGTTTCTTGTGCCAGGCTCGGCAAAATATCGAAGATTTCGCAGCAACATTTTGCGGCAAAATATCGAGGCAAGCGGAGCAGAATCTGTGTGGGCCTAACCGTCGCGCGATGGGTTAACGGTACGCGAAATAGTTGAGCTCAGATCAACTTTTTAAAGATCACGAGTCATGATAACAAGAAAGGAAAAAGAAAGAAGAAAAACCCGTACAAACAAACAGGATAGAGTGAGCAACTGGGAAAAAAGTTATAGCGGCAGCTGACATTCAGCAGCAGCCAACGAGGCTGAGGACGCTGCGGCATCGCTAAACTGACTGTTAGGCCGACGGTGGCCGCGCAGGCTTGCAACGGTGGACCTGACCAAGCTGAATACAAACACTGATCTGACATGAGCCATTACAATGCTGTAGGGCTCGTTCTTTTTCTCAGACATCATACAGACCAACCGCTTCAGGAAGGTGGAGACAGCCTTACCGGTGCCGCCTGTGGCGCTGAAAACCAGGGGCACAAATGAAGCTCTCTCGACTTCTCTGACGCGTTCTTCATAACAGCGGCCCTTCTCGCCTTCATGTCGCGCGTATGTGGAGGGCAGGGACTGAGCCGAGTTTGAGGCAGCATGGGGATTGAAAACCCGCACATCGAAAAAGGTGCGCTCAAGCTGGCTGCCCCACACTCCACTGGCAGCAACATCAAGCCGTGCACCATCGTCGCGGATGGCTGTGCGGTGGCGAAGCTGTTCGCCGGTCAGAGGCTGCAGCCCTGGCTCCACGGCCACATCCTTCCAGATCAGCTTTTTCACGACGCAACGCGTTTCCCGAACGCAACATGAAGTATGAAAACCCTCTGATCAGATGCCACACGCTGTGAGGAGATATCATGAAACGCATGGCCGGCAGCAAACTGTACATTGCCACGGTACTTTCCGGCCGTGTAGCTGTGTGTGCGGGGGGGGGGGGGGGAAGTGGAGGAGGGGATAAAAGCCGCAGATTTTGGCTCTTTACCATAATATTGCTACTCAATCTGCGGACAGAACTGCTTCGTCCTTTGTGTACTCATCAGCGCAGCACAGAGTAACACTGAATACTGTTATAATCTTTACTTCAGGATTTCCCAAAGGCCATAGCGGGAAATTTCCTATTTGAGACATTGCAACACCACTGAACACACAGCGAAGATTAAGTCTCGATAACGATGGCGGCCAAAAGTCAGTTTCTTCTGCTTCTCACCGCTGCATTTGTGGTCTGTGCAGCTCAGGGCAAGCCTGTTGCAGAACAACCGATGTTGTTAATTAGAGGCATTCCCTCTTCAAGATGTAATGTTACCAAGACCAACGTTACGATATTATTACGAGACACGTTGCGAGCAGCCCTACGAGTCGAGAAGAGACGTATCCGGATCAGCAGTGACTGCGACCACCAGGCCTCGCCGAACAAACTGTTTAGTTTCTGCACTGAGCTCGCCATCTGTGATGAGCGGATACGTAAGAACGGCAGAATTAGAATGCACTTTCTTGCGATGTCCAGCACCGGCGCTCTGACAACGATGGTCGTGGAAGATGTTCCTGACCATAAGATATATGCCCATCTCCGGTCTCTTACGACACCGAATCGAACTGCACTCTTCACTACGGACATCCGGCTCACCGCAAGGGCAAGCTGCTCTTTCACTCGAAGCTCTACGGGCAACGGCCAGAGAAGGGCTAGCTGCGACGAGGTCCACCTGAAGTCTTCCGGTCTGCACACAGACCGTTACGTTGCTGTTGAGGCCAGGCGCCCTACCTATAAACTACGCAACGCACAGAGAAGAGTGGTAAACGGGGACGTACAAGCGTGCGCGCACTCTCCCGGACCTATATTTTCAGCAACTGACAAAACCGCTAAAGCCACAAGCATTGGGTTCAGAGCACAACCCAGTCAAGCCCAAGCGCTGCCCTATCGTGGACTTCACTGACGCGATGTGTGATGACTTCTGCGGCTCCAAACGCGGCAAGAGGTGCACTGGATCGAAGTGCCCATGTCGCCACTCTCGCCGGTTGCTTAGCTACTATACTTTGCTATGAGTACCAGTCCTAATCATTTATATCGGCTTTCTTTCAGAGGGTATGTATTGGCCTCGTCATTTATAGTACCCGCCAGGCAACTAACTTAGCTCACTGAGCCTACTCTCTGCGTTACTGCTAGTCTAAAGCATAATTGTTGTGATCATGATCCACCAAGAAGATAGATATCATTCATTGTCTGCAGGCATATTTTCCCTAGAATAGTTTTGCTATTGATTATTCGTTAGCTGTTGCGCCAGTGATCATGATGTCATGCTTCGTGGCTGACCCTACAAGAGACTTTCTACACACACACACCCACACACACACACACACACACACACACGCACGCACGCACATACACCCATTATCGTGATCATGTTTGTACATTTCTGTCAGCATCATCAGCTTAAATTATGGCGTATACTGCCACGATCCTAGGGTATAGAGCTTTGAAACAGATCCTCATGGTCTGGCTGTGTCCTTCAGATATTTTTTACTTTCCTCTCTTTCTCCTCTTTCATTCCAGAGGAAAGTCCCTCGGATAGGCTCCCGCAGCGTTCGGTCTGTAATTTTCAAATAGAATTATAACAAGCTGATGATGGCTCCTGGCCGAAAACGTGATTGAGAAATGAAATTGTGCAGCAAAGAGACCGCTTGTGTTGGTGATGGTGCAGGTGTTTCCATGTTAATGAAAAAACAATCAACACACATAAAGTATAACTCTGTTGTACAATGTATTTGAGTAGGATCCTCATTCCCTACCGCATTCTACATTTCATGCCATTGTTTTCAGCATGTCACTCTGTGGTCCAATCCTCCGCCATTACAACTTGTGTTTGGTTTGCCCGTGAAAATGGCTACATTTATGATGATGCTCATTAGCCATTGGCGGACTATGCTCGGCCAATCGTCAAATTATACTTTTGATAATGCCACAATTATGCCAACAAATATGCTGAATTATGCTGAATTATGCTCGGGTCCACTATGTATTCACGCTGAGGATTGAGAAACCACGCATTCACACATGGCCATGCCCTAAGCATAATTTTTGTCTAAACCGAAAGATTATGCCGACCTTACACGTTGGAATCCGTATATTATGCCGGAGCATAATATTTTGACGAAATCCCAAGATTGATAAATATGGTGGTAAAGACACACCTGGCAATATGGCGGTAAACACACGCCTGCCCACACACGCTCTCTAGGCTGCAAAGTTCTGGCACTGAGCTCTCTTTCTCACCACCACCACCATCAGTTCGCGCCTGGCGCCTGGTCGATGCATGGCTCGCGGTATCCGGCATAGCAGGCTGGTACATCAAGTAGCGCATGGCACATAGATGATGACACAGCAACGACATAGCTCGATTGCGACGTACGTTTCGTCCCCGCTGGACTCATCAGGCAATCTTCTTCTTGGATGTCTCCTGCTCGTTTGGTCTCACGAATCCAAATAAAATCAATCAAAGCCTTCAAGTTCAAGGGCGGCGAAGAAGTGAAACAAGGAAAGTACCGTACTGGCAATATATATGGTCGCAGTGAGGCCATGAAGCGTTACATTGGCACATGTTTACCGCACGCAGGGCGTTACATGCAAAGTCGCACAGGAGCCGTTACACAGGTTTCTATATTGCCGCAGTCCTTGTTTTGCAGGACTTCCTGCTGCGTCCAGTTTTGAACTTTTCACCACGCGGTACACGTGCTTTCACAGTTTTCAGCCTTTTTTGCAATGAAAAGATCGCCGCAACCCGCCGGACGCGCGTTACCAGGTTACGAACGCAACGAAAATTTGTCGCACTAGCCTGGTCGCGCGTTACGCCGCACCCCCCTGCGTTACGCGTTACGCGGCAACATATATTGCCAGTACGGTAGTTATCTAGTGTACGTAGATCTACGTGTACGTCGGTGTAGGCTTTTCATTTTTCGAGACGAGAGGTGGCACGCCCCGATGCCCCCCCCCCCCCCCCCCACACACACCTCTGGATCCACTACTGCTACTGTGCTAGCAGTGGTTGATGCTAACTACAGAGTACAGTACTGGCCAAAGCTGAAATCCAACACCTCATGAATAGAATAGCGCAGGGCACTGCGCAGTCCTAGCACTACACACACTGGTCTGTGCACTCGATCCCGTGCTACTTTATTCCCGAGGTTGGATTTCTCTAGCCAGCACAGAGTTGTCATCAATGAATCCCAAAGGCTGCCTGTCATCATGACCATTTAACATTTTGTTCCCATGAAATCTGATGATGTCAGATCGCATTCCACCAGTGCAGCGCCACAAACTTCGGCAACACTAAAAAATTAAATTAAAGTGCCAGATTCGGGATGCACCAAGTGCAGTAGTAGTTCAAGAAGTAATTATTGCTAATCAGTCCACCCCTTGTCAGCTTTACAAAGACAGGAAGGCGAGAGATAAAGCGGCAACTTCGGAACCAGGACCAACAATACGTGCTATAAACAACAACAACATCATCAACATCATCATCATCATGGTGTTGAGAACGAAAAATCGTATTGGCAAACACGACCAATTACATAATAATATTATTATGCAAACACCATTCAGGGATACATGTTGTTCACGAGACCAACATTATCGGACCAATCATGATACTATGGCATTCACACAAGACTCAAAACTCACATCACACAGTGAACATGAGTACACTGTTGCTCAGTGAAAGCCAGTCACGCCACTCGAGTTTGCGCCCTGCACCATTTCGCAGCCCAGCGTTCGCCGGTCTAGGGCTGCGCAACGCCGTGCCGGTGTGTAGTTGAGTGACGCGACTGGATTTCCTTTAAAAGCAGTAGTGTACTTGCAGTACTGGTACTATACTATTAGTACACTGACCAGCATGGTTTGTGACCAGCACGGGACAACCATCGGTGTGTGTGGTGGAGGTGGGACAGCACTGGGTGCCGTGTGTTGGGCTGGTGGTGTCACGCTCCTCTCTAACATTGTTACACTCAGGCTGTCAAACAATCAAGGCACCACCGCGGCTTCAAGTTGCAGCATGAAAACCGCTGCGGGAAAGGCCAGAGCAACCCAGGAGAAAGATCAAATGCCATCTGGCCACGTCGACTCATTCACCTGGCCAGAAGGACAGCAATGGTGGAGGATAGCTTGAATCAGCTGTCTTCCAGCTTAAATCAGAGACCATCTTGTCAGAGCATGATCTCTTCTTGCTCACATTCACAGGTCTGCAAAGTGCCGGATGTGCTGGTGTTGCCATGGGACCAGGCCCGGTTCAGTGGCACTCGTCGCCGCGGTGCAGCTGCACCCTGCGACGACGCCGTGCCAGTAGCTGGTGCGGTGGCAGAGGAAGCGCTGGCCCCTGCAGCAACAGATGCATCAGCAGCGGCCCGGCCTGCAGACTGAAACGGGTCGACCAGGTGAGGCGTCGACACTGACCTCATAGCTGATAGGCTGCTACCACCGCCGACCTGCGCGGCTGTTGCTCCACTAGCGCTGTTCTTCTTGCCCTGTGGTAACATGAGAGATCATGGCAAACTGAATTGGGGTTTGGGGCTTGTAAAATCGTGTAACTTGCCCGAAAGGGCATCTGAGAAATGCAGAAACCTGAATTAAATTGACAACACCTTTCGGCAGTCCCTCACAGACACATATGCCGGCTAGTACATTTCCAACTTCAAAATTACGAAATTTTGAAATGAGAAGACCTTGTTTTTGCTGCTTTCAAATTGGCTTTGAAAACTCTACAGTCCATTCACAAAAAGATGGGCCCTGGCTCTGGCGAGCTCCCGTATTAGGCGATTTTTCAAGATTTTATCGTACACAGTGCAGTGCTGTGAAATTTGAAATTTGAAAAAGGGTCCAAAAAGGGTACCTGAACTGGGGTTCGAACCGTACAATGCACTGTTGCAGGCAGGGTCAAACGGCCTGGATTTTGATGGGTTTTCCCAATTCAGTGCTCTTGGGGCAAAACCTGGCCGAAATCCTATTCTTGCTATGGCTTGCTTTTTGGAGAAATAGACTTCAGAAACATAATTGGAAGAGGATTCCATAGGGGATTGCAGAAAAAAATTCTAAAAAAACTCAATGTTTGACCCATTTTAATATGGCCAAAAGCTAGAAGTCCATCTTTTTCTGAATGGACTGTAAGCATACACAATCTCTTTTTTACATTCTATATTTCCGGGTTCTGGACCAGCTTCTTCGCACAGTTTGCCATGGTATACTTGTCCAGATTTGGTTAAACCTGGCCACTAATTTTTTTTTTATACAATGCAACACAATAATAGCAACACAATATTGTGGAAAGTACACAATTGTCTAAATCCCTTTACTTCACCCAACACTGAGGGATGCACAGTTGCAGACTATGTCCACTATGAGTATACCAAACGGAGAGAGAGAGAGAGAGAGAGAGAGAGAGAGAGAGAGACAACAGCGTGTTAGGGCGCTAGTTTATGATCAGCCGGCTGTGGTCCCTTGTGTGACTGCATCCCTGTATACTCAGGTTGCCAGCAGCAGCAGCAGCAACGGAGCACCGCGCCAACATACAGTCAACCTACCCTAAAAACAATATTTCCCCGCTCAGACCAAGAAATATCGTTATAAGGGTAATATTGTTATGAGAGTACTGGTTCATTTCATACATGTACTTTTTTTTGTACGTCATAATACATGTTTTTGTTCATTTTTACACTCTTCATAGCATCAAAAACGTACGTACATGTATGTTCTACGCACATTTACTCGAGTACAAAGAAAAGCATCACGCCCCCATTGTGTTTTCTCATTTCCCAACGGTTTAATTAACAAGTGAAACTTGCCCAACTTGAATAGTGGACTCTACATAATCCCTGCTAGATATTGTTATAAGTTAAAATGGAAAATGTCGAGTGGTCATCCCATTGTACTAGTATATGGGTTATAGCAATATTATTAGAGGTAAGGCATTGTATACAACAGTCAATGGAGTATTTCGGTTTGACAGAAAAATAGCGTTATATAAAGGGTAATGCCGGTATAAGGGTAATATCGTTATAAGGGTAATATCGTTATAAGGGTAGGTCGACTGTGTACATGTAGTACTGGACATGTCACACAACCCACCAGTAGCAAGGTCCCGGGTGGAATGCTGCTGTGTAACAACATTGACTGACTTACAAGGCGTTTGAAGACATTCAGGCCCCCAGTACGATCTTTGGACTTCGCTCTCTTGGAAGGCTTGCCACTTTGCTGTGTCTGAAAACAGGCAGGGAGATGTATATGTAGCTGAGACAAGGAATATTCTACGATCCATGCAGAATAACGAATACCCAACACCACATGATAAAGCTATGCACGGATCATATCATATAGGAACATACCAACGATGGAAGCAGGAAAACGCAGTATGCATGAGCTTCAACAAGGGTATTACCCTCACCCTCCACACACACACACACACACGCACACACACTCAGACTCAGACTCAGACATGCCCATCGCAGAAGCGATGATAGCGAACAGCTATGTTAGACATAGCAACTTGTGCACACACACACACACACACACACACACACACACACACACACCATTGGACCATTGGACGCCCATCGCCGGAGGCGATGATAGCGATGCTACAGCAGAAGCCATAGCAGCTTGTGCTGGGATTGCACCATTCAACAGCTTGCAAGGCTGAAGAATTGACCGCCACTATTCAGCCTGGTCTACACCACACAGCTATGAAGTGGCTTTTTCTGGCCAGTGAATCCACACACACACACACACACACACACACACACACACACACACACACACACACACACACACACACACACACACACACACACACACACACACACACACACACACACTGACACACACGCACACACGCACACACGCACACACGCACACACGCACACACGCACACACGCACACACGCACACACATACTCGGCCAACAATTCCAATCCAGGCAACGATCTTACAATGTAGTCACGACACGCCGCAATATCCTTCTCCAAAACAGAAAAATAGTTCTCCACTATGTCAATCCGACCGGTCTGAAAAGACAAAAAAAATAAGGGAAAACTACACTAGTACTCACTGGGCTAGACCCAAGGTCCATCAATCGTGCACTGCATTTACTGCCTGGTTACTGGATCTTTGCAATGCAAGTCAGAAATAGATATGATTGAGCATTGGCAGGGAATCATATGATAGCCAGTAAGGCATACGAAGATATAAACCAGCTGCAAATTTAACAACTGCCCAGAATCTTCTACTCCATCAGTTGAGAAACATGTTAGATTTACTTCCTGGTTAAAACTTAAAATGTTTTACAGTGTCATGATTCCTTCCACCCTACCTTCCACCCTACCTTCCACCCTACCTTCCACCCTACCTTCCACCCTACCTATGGTAATCTAACCTTCCATCATACCTACGATGATTCATACTCCCTGAAAAGTGAAAACATAACCCTGGCCCGTACGACCCCCCCCCCCCCCAAACTCACCAAGTCGTTAACCCGATCTGTCTGTCCTCTCGCCATGGAGATAGCCGCCTCGGAATCACGGCGACACTCAGTACTGCTCTGCCGGAAATGTGTGTCGGTCGAGAGAACTCTACCATCCAGCGAGCAGCACTAATGAAACAGAGCAGCAGCAGCAGCAACAGCAGCAGCAGCAACAGCAACAGCAGTAACAACAACAACAGCAGCAGCAGCAGCAGCAACAGCAGCAGCAGCAGCAGCAACAACAACAACAACAACAACAACAGCAGCAGCAGCAGCAGCAGCAGCAGCAGCAGCAGCAGCAGCAGCAGCAGCAGCAGCAACAACAACAACAACAACAACAACAACAACAACAACAACAACAACTCTCATTGGCGATGGTGCCATCTTGAGATTAAGGAATTCAAACACATTACAGGATAGATTGCAGCGTTATGTTCAATTTAGCATGCTTCCACGTATCACTAACTGCAGTTGCACACACTGTTTTCAGGGAAAGACGGTTGCAAAGTAAAATTCGGTAAAACGGCACTTACACTAGTTGTAAGCAGCCGTGTTTCTAAACACTAGTATCCCGGCTTTGCCACAGTGTGTCTGTGTCCAGTAATCGCACTCCGTGTCAATCGTACTGGTGACACACTACGAGTGCTGTCACGGCTACTGTCTGTGTGTTTCCAACTTGCATACACTGTGCAGCGCCTGGTACATATTCTAATACTGCATAAATCCACTACTCTGCAGCTGCTGCAGCTATCACCACAACTTACCTTCCTGCTCAAATCCACCAAGCTACCGTCCATGTCTCGCATTTTCCGATCGAACAACTTGTGGAGACGCAGACATTCGAGCTCCAGCTGCTCCGTGCGCCTGAAATACTTCTGTGCAGCTGAAAGGAGAGTAGTGTGTGCGTGTGCAAACATCGGAGATACATACACAAACGAGAGAGAGAGAGAGAGAGAGAGAGAGAGAGAGAGAGAGAGAGAGAGAGAGAGAGAGAGAGAGAGAGAGAGAGAGAGAGAGAGAGAGAGAGAGAGAGAGGGGCAGGGGGAGGGGGGGATCAGGATAGTCCTTTTGCACTACGATGAGATGTTGTTTGAGTCTGCATTGACGAGTACAGGTATTTTCACTCTCAGCAGAGACAAGAAAGGTTGGGATGGAAGGGGGTGGGGGTGGGGGTGGGGGGATGGGGCTAGTGTAGAAACTAATGTGAGATGGTAATCACAGCCCAGAACCCCAGAATAACTGCCTGCCATATGCCACATCACATGACTATATGCACGCGCCCGGAAAATATGGCCAAAGTACACCCTGGTGATGTTAACCCCGATAGCATTCAAACCTAGCATGTCTGTGCCCTCCCTCTCTAACTTACTAGGAGACACAGCAGCCAGTAAAGCGTTTCTTCTGCAAGTAATTTCCGCGGTACGCCGGTGCAAAAGCCATGCACTTCAAAATATGTACATGTATCAGCTGCCTTCCTTTCTCGTTGTGTATGCCTTAACCGCACCCCTGTTTTGCAACTTGCACATATCAACGATATCCTCATTTCCCTATGCACATATTAACTGCATCTCTTTCTTGCTACATATGTATGCGTTATTACCCTATCTCTTTGTCGGATGAAAGCTGTCACTTTCAATTTTGACTAATGCAGTCTATACTAGCTGATTGGCCTCCGGCACAGAGATGATAATTGAAGGTAAGATCAACATGACGCCGTGCCTTGACAGCGGCACTCACCGTCATGCTGCTTCATGATTTGCCGCTGTAGCTTGCCGACCATACGCTGACCCTGCATGACGTTCTTGCAGAGGTTGGTGAACAACGTGATCGGCAGCGTGATGTTGGCCGACGCGCTATCCTCCTGCACCACCGCGACAACACGCCGGTGCATCATGTTGCAGCCAATGATGCACACACAGACACGCACACGTGCACACATGCATGCACACGCACACGTACATGCGCGTGCACACACACACACACACACACACACACACACACACACACCATGGTCAACCCAAATAGCTCTTGCAAAGTTACATCACTACTCCAGCAGCCAGCATGGACGGCTGTACACACAAATACATAGGGCATATATTTTTGGAGCAAGGCAGAGCGCAAGCTAAACAACATCCATGATAGCAAAGATTGAGAGATTGGATAGTGACCTGGCATACAACATTGCCGGTTCAGGCAAGTTATCAGTACTGGCCACCACAACCAATAACCGTGTTCTGATTGGATTGGACTATCATTGCTTGCTGGGTTCTGAACCTAATCATGTACAGTGGACCACTTCTTGCTGGGTTTTGGACCTAATCATGTACAGTAGACCACTTCTTGCTGGGTTTTGGACCTAATCATGCACAGTAGACCACTTCTTGCTGGGTTTTGGACCTAATCATGCACAGTAGACCATTGCTTGCTGGGTTTTGGACCTAATCATGCACAGTAGACCATTGCTTGCTGGGTTTTGGACCTAATCATGCACAGTAGACCATTCCTTGCTGGGTTTTGGACCTAATCATGCACAGTAGACCATTGCTTGCTGGGTTTTGGACCTAATCATGCACAGAAGACCATTGCTTGCTGGGTTTTGGACCTAATCATGCACAGTAGACCATTGCTTGCTGGGTTTTAGACCTAATCATGCACAGTAGACCATTGCTTGCTGGGTTTCGCACCTCAGTAATCATGTACAGTAGAACCTGGGGAATTCAACCGCCTTTCGGACTGGGAAATGCAGTCCGATAACCGACGTAGTCTGTTTAGTGAATAGGACCATCCCAATATTCAAGACCGAGAAAAAGTAGTCGGCTTCGTGAGGTTTGTAGTTCAGGATCTGCCTGACATGGTATAGCTGTATCGTGTTTGCTGGTCAGCTGTGCAGAATCCTCACTGCTAACAATACCCTGTTATTGGTAATGAAGCTGCATGAAGTGTACAAGCAAATCTCCTGCCAACAGCGCGGTGGTAGGATGTGTTGATGTGTCACTTACCTCGCCACCCATAGCATAGCCAGGCAATGGAGTATTGCTGGAGGACAGGAACACTGAGCCTCCTCTTGACCCACCACTACTAGAGGTTGGCCTGGTTGCACCGGTGTCTCGCAGCGGACGGAGTTCATCCGGTGATTCGTCACCGCTGTCTATGTCCTCGTCCCCATCGCCACCCAGATTCTCTGGAGCAGCAGTCGGTGTTCTCGCATATTTTTCGCGTCTTCTCTTCGCTCGTACCTGCATGACTGGTTTCCGTTTCTGCGATGGGGCCACTTGACCTGGAGATGGTGAACTGCTAGCGTCGGCTTCTGATTTCAGTGGAGTTAGACTGTCTTTCATCATGTCAGATAAACTCGATATATTGGATAGCTCGGATACAGTCGGAGAAGGCTCGTCATTGTCGGGATCCGTGACATCGTAGGAGCTCCAGGAGCTTTGCTCTTGCAGTTCCACACCTTCACTGGTAGCAGTAGCCTTGGTAGTTGGACTGTTATGCACCGACAGCTGTGCCGGAGACGCCTGTTTCCTTTGCTTTGGCACAGGGAGTGTTACCACGGTCGTGTACTGCTCCTCGGCGTACGTTTTAGCTACGGGCTCGGCGTAAGTGAGTCGAGCGGCAGTCTCCACACTGGGCCGAGAACCAGCCCTGGTAGATACAACAACAGCAGCTTCAGTCCTCGTAGTCGGTCCAGCAGTGGCGTCGGCAGTTGGTTGAGCTGCAGCCTCGCCGGGTGGAATAACAGCCGCATCGGCAGTTGCCTGAGCTGCTGCCCGAGACGCACCGCCGTGAGCGTGAAGATCAGTCTCCGTGCTTGCTTGCCCGCGCAGCACTGGTGACGCACTGCTAGCAGCCGCCGTGGATGTCTGAGTATCACCGGCCGCCTGCTGTGCAGACTCATCACCCTCTGGTGGGCTGCCACCTATGCGAACATACGTAACGGCGGGCATCTTGCTGATGGTTGATACCTTCACCACTGAGCCATCTCTCTGCAGGTAGCAGCACAGGTGCATTAGACAGTAAACTTAGGCTCATTCATTACTGCTCATCATGCCAGCCAGAAATAACCCAAAACTTTGCCTCAGACTGATTCTCCTAAAACACTGCTGTTACTGCAGTAGATGTACTGAAGCAGTGATCTGGAACAAGGCCTGTGAGAGGTCAAAAAAGCCAACTGGTCAAGACTGCAATATACCATTCTGGCATGCGGAGGAAATTAAGCCAAGATGGCTAAAACTACACATTTCTTGCAACAATTGATCTATGCATGCTGCCAGCTAAAAAGCTGCTTGGGTTTAAGGGAGAGTGGATGCTTTTCATCGTCAGCAAGAGTCCATAACCCCAAGAGTGTGCAACTGCCTGCACAACCTCTATGCAGTGCTGCGACGGCAGAGCTTCACATCACGTGACATGGTTCAAAAGGTTACACTGGCAAACAGTGCAAAGTGACCACAAGAGAGTTGTACCCAAAGCTGGATTGCGTACAACCCTGTATCTATCATGCACAGAGTGCAAATAGTGTGTACGGGTTCATCACGTGATGTGACGTTCTGCCGTCGCGGACCCCATAGCTCAGTGGAGTTGCACACTCTTGGGGGTTATCACGGTACTCTTGTCCTCAGGCATTCCAAGTGTCTACTAGCTGCAACTCGATTCAAGTCAGTGAAATTTCCTGGCAGCTACTCTATTCACTTACTTGTGGGAATGCCGATCACAACTTCACGCAAGCTCATATCCCGTGCCTAGCTTGAACATCGGTTTAGCCTCAGCGCCTCACCGGGATCAGCAGCCGGATGAACTGGCTGCTACCTCCTCCCCCCCCCCCCTCTCCTGACAGCCATGCACATGCTTCATATTAAACATGTTAACGTATTAGCACTGCAGAATGCATTGCAGAATGCATTGCAGAATGCATTGCACGGTAGCGCTTGACAGGCCTGTGCAGTTGCAGGCATGCACACCGACACATGCCACTCACAGCTACGGGCAACGTCAGTGCCAACTCGGTCATTACCACTTTGAAGCGGCCATGAGTGCGCCTCAACATATCCTCCTCTGTACTATCGTCGTCCTCGCCTGCGCTGCCATCGGCACTGGCCGCCACACTGGCCGCCGCGCTTGTGGGCTGTGACGAAGTGGACAGGGACCGATCCGTTGGGGTGCTGGAGGCCTGAGCGGCAGCCGTACTATATGCTTCGCTTGGCCAGCTGGTATTGAGTTTCGCCGAGTTTTCCTCCTGTGGGACATGATTGAAACAAGTGTTTGCAGCAAATCATGATAATAGCATCACCATAATACTGTAATATGTAAAGAGAAAAGTACCTATAAGTTACTAGTTATGACTAACAGTCCACCAAGGTGCGAGATAATATACAGTCAGATAGTGTAACAACAAGGCACAAAACTGACAAGGATATTGAGACACTCGACAACCTGACACCTAGCTCCAACACTTATAGGTTCTTTTCTCTTTCCATATTACTATTGGCTCAACATCCGAGTTGTTATAGTACTGTAAGGCAATACTAGTAATGTTAGCTACAATACCAAAAGCCAAACAGCGTAAAACATGTTGCTTAATGCCAGTGCCCAAGACAGGTCTTTAGAAGCTCGTCATGGGGAACAGACAAACTGCTCCTCTGAAACTTGGCTTAAGAAGGACCAATCATTGGGAGGCGTATCGGTTGTATCGCAGCTTAAGGGGAACTATGGTCTACAATTAAACTGTCACTACTCGTAGTCTTCCGTGTGCCGAGTCGAATGGTCTTGGTCCGAGGAAGCTGAGACGCTCCCTCGTCCTCCTGCATTCCCACTCGAACTCGCCACTTCCACCAAAACTGGGAAACTGCGTCCTACTAGATGGGGATTTATATGCAAAATGTCACTAAAACACCATTTCGTTCCTATAAAAGCACGGGTGACCGCGATTGGCCCATATGTTGTAGTCTTTTGCACGCCGAGTCGACTGGTTTTGATCCGAGAAGGCTGCAATGCAGCGTTCGGCCCTTATTCCCAATCGAACACGGCCGAGTAAGCGATCACGTGCTCATGTATATGCCAGTCACCTGATCACCGCGCCTGCAGGCTACAACTTTAACACCAAGGCTAAACTCGAGTGACAGGAACTCACGCTAACAAGCTGTCGATGGTAGCGCTACAGCAGAAGCCATAGCATTACTTGTGCTGGGATTGCACCATTCAACAACTTGCAAGGCTGAAGAATTGACCGCCATTATTCAGCCTGGTCTACACAGTACAGCTCTTTCTGGCTTGCGAATCCCTCCTCTTCGGCCTTTTTTTCTTTTCTCTCACACACACATATACACACATACACACAACAATACACACATACATACACATACATGCACAAACAGCCAGGCAGATACACACACATACTAGTGGTGAAACGAATATTCGAACATTCGAATATTCGTTCGGTTGGTCACATTCGAATATTCTTTAAGTCGCATTCGAGTATTCGTGACGTCACTTCAAACGCAGTGCATGTACATACATGCATGCCACACACAGTACAGACAGTGCGTACAGCCTGCCTGTGACTTTGTACTACATGTTTGCACATGTATGTGCATACTGGACTGCCAATGTTGCACATAACATGTATGACCTTCGAAGTAGCCTTATGTGGTGGTTCATTTTATGTGGCACAACCGCTTGTCATACCTAATAGTAATGACAATATACATCAAATGACTGAGAAGAGGGCATGTGATGTCACCTGTGTTACCAAAAGAATATTCGTGCGTTCGTTCGTTAAGCCAAAGAATATTCGGCTACTAGGTTTTGACATTCGTTTCACCACTAACACATACACATGCGCATGTACGCAAGCACGCACATACTCGTACACACACATGCACACACACACACACACACACACACACACACACACACCACAGGCGTGCGCGCACGCACGCACGCACACACACACACACACGGTTACCTTGATCTCTTGTCCAATTTTCCGTCGGAGCTGTTCATCCGAATACTTCTGCAAGTCGAAAGCCAATGTCTTGGCACCATGAGTTGTCCGCAGTTGTCCAACGCTCACATCGGGAGCGATTCTGAGCTTGGAGGTACACAGCTCCATAACAGCTTTGAGCCGATCCTGTGTGGTGACGGTATCCCCCAGTTCCTGGAAGTGACCATCCCGACCATGCATATGAACAGATAGGTCATTGCAGAGAGCAGTGTGAAAAGCAAGACTTGCGTTCAGTGGACGACCCCTCACTAGAAAGGGGAGGGGGGGGGACATGTCTGGAGCCGGGGCATCTCAATGTCAGTGTCTTCATGGAACTATTCTATTGCTAAGATAGCGGTGTTTTGTGGTGGAGTCCGGTCAGTTTCAATGCGACTGTACTGTGATACAGATGCATAATTGTATTGCAATACACATCGCACACGTCGTAACGGGCTGGAGCAATAGCTAATTCCTGCGGCTCTCTTACCACATCATGTCCAGACACGGCCTTGATAAGCCGAAGGAAAATGATACCGTCATAGAGCCTGTGAACAGCAGCAGAGATTGGAATTGTCAGACAACAACGCAATGCACGTGTTCTTTGGGTGCAGCTGCATGTCATGTTATAGGGAATGCCTGTTATGCCTAGGTGTCTCTGATGCTTCAAGTCTAAATTAAGGCAGGGCACAACCAATAAGAACAGGCAGGTGCACAACTAACATTATGCAAGACAAACGGCACACACACACACACACATGCGCGTGCACACACATACACACACACACGAACACACGTTTCCCACACATACGTGCATGAGTGCACACACACACACACGCACACACACACACACACACGTACGCACCATGTACCATGTATACGCCCGTCGCAAGAGAAGCACGCAAATCTGCAAATGCACTGGATGTGCACCCACAGATTTTCTCTTATAGCAACGATAGCGAACAAGATCTGAATGAGACAGATCAAGACTTGCGCCAGATAATTGTCTAATCCACACAACTGGCGAAGCCATGTGAATCGACCACCAATGCACACCTGGTCTACACCACACGGAGTACATCGGCATAAAACGGCCGCACACACGCACGCACGCACACACACACACACACACACACACACACACACACATTCAGGGGACTACGCCGAACGAAACATGTGATAAAGCACAGATACCAGCATTGCAGGTATCAAAACACTTACTCGTCAACACGTGTTATCCGAGGCTCTTCCTTCAACGTGTGATTGATCCATTTCAGAATGCCACCAATGTCAACTAGGTTCAAGGCACAAGTCATTGAAGAGAACAGGACAAACGGAGAACCCAAAGTGCTACAATCACGTTGGCAACACACACACAACAGGGGCGTGCTCGGCCCCCCCCCCCCCCAACTAGGGGGGGTGCACGGGAGCCGAGGGGAGCCCCCCCGGCAATTTTCTGCAATTTGTTTGCAACCTTTCTTGAATTTTAGAGCATATTTGCATACATTACAATTGCAATTACCCAGATTGAAATTTTTTGGGGGGTGCACGTGCCCCCCGTGCCCATCGCCGAGCACGCGCCTGCACAACGAACGGATAATGACAGCGAACAGTGCCTTCCCTAGCATCGTCTAAACCTTGTGCGGGTTCAACTGTGTTGCAAACCTGACCATGCAGAGAGGGTCTGTCTTCCAAGCTTGGCTTACATGCTCCACTAGTACTGCTCAGAGTCAGAGCCCTTGCATACCTGCCAGTGGGTCCATGCCAGTTTTCTGCCGGATGGTGTTCCTTCATAAACAATTGCTCGGATGTCTGTACTACAGTATCGTCGGGCGCCGAAGAACGGCAAGGCTAGAATTTCACCAATTTTTAAGAACGGATTTTTGCAGATAAGAACGGAAACCGTTATGTACACTATAATGTACACTCAGACGTATAGCTCTGCATAATTGTACATGTAAGACTGTACCATCGAATAAGAACGAAACAGCTGTGTTCACTAAAAATAAGATGGGCCAGGCTAGAACTCTGACCCCCTCACCCCCCCCCCTCCCCCACCCAACCCTGACCCCCCCCCCCACCCAACCCTGCCCCCCCAACCCTGACCCCCCCCCCCACCCAACCCTGACCCCCCCCCACCCAACCCTGACCCCCCCAACCCTGACCCCCCAACCCTGACCCCCCCCCCCCCCAGTTCTTCGGCATCCGACAGTACTGTATACGGGCAGGTACATGCAGGATTCTACTTCAGCATTTGAGTTTTTCAGCATTAGGCCGAGTAAAAAAAATTACTAGATGATCGTCCTTTTTTTTGGAAAAATCGGGGAGGGCGGGAGGATTTTATTTTTATTTTTTTACTTTTTACCCTCTCATGCACACAGTGTACACAACAACATCAAGGTTTTTTTTCTCTTTTTTTCTTTTTTTTTCTTTTTTTCTTTTTCTTTCTTCAGCAGATCGATACTGACGTTGTGATATACTAGTAGTATGTGGTCCATATAGTAAAGAAAGTATTAAACAAAGCGTGCACATGTTTCCTGCATCCGCGATCGGTAAAAAACCAACGATTTCGGCAAAAACTCACGATTTAAAAAATAAAATATTTCTTGGGGCGCTGACAAAAACTGGGGCGGACGGGGACGATCATCTAGCTTTTTTTTTTACTTGGCCTTACATGCAATTATTCATTAATAAAGTGGCGAGCCGCAATCAGAGGGAAATCTATCAGCACTTTGACATTGTTTTGGTTCGCCAGTGAAAGCATCATGTACGTTAGCCATAAGAGCATGAAAACCATCACATCATTTCGATCATCCCTTCCCCATATGTACACACTACGGTATACGTTCACAGCAAAAGCAAATGGCCCTTACGCCCTGGAGATTGAGCAGGATGTGGAGTCGGTGGAAGTGGCGGGAGTTTCCGCGCAGGCTTTTTTCTCGCTTCAGCATATTTCTGCATCTCTGGAAAGTGACACGGAAAAGCCGGCATACAAATCATTTATACGGTCTCTGATATAAACGGCTTTCTTGGAGACAAAATGCAATCACATTTGTGAGAAGAGCAAAACTTCAGACTCCCTGGTACAAGGAACATTTTCGAGAAAATGCCACACAAGTACTTTCAACACCTTCTCATCAAATGGAATACAGGCAAAAAAAGAAACTTAACAGGCACAAAGATGATGTTGAAGTTGAAAGATCTTTATACAGCAGAGATGTGATAGGAACAGCGCAAAGAAGAGTAGCCAGAAACAACAATGGTAAAATGACAGTGCGTGACCTCGCACACGTCGAAGGAGTGACAAAAAGGTGAAAGTGTAAAGCCTAGAAACCTAACAAGCGTGCGATGTACAGTAAAACTCCCCTAATCCAGGCAGGTTAAGGTTGGGGACCGAGCACTGCCCTGTTCCAGGCAGGTTGGGGACCGAGCACTGCCCTGTTCCAGGCAGGTTGGGGACCGAGCACTGCCCTGTTCCAGGCAGGTTGGGGACCGAGCACTGCCCTGTTCCAGGCAGGTTGGGGACCGAGCACTGCCCTGTTCCAGGCAGGTTGGGGACCGAGCACTGCCCTAATCCAGGTTGGGGTTGGGGACCGAGCACTGCCCGTAACTAGGAATTGCCTGTAACTCAGAACTAATACTTACATACTTACTGCATGCAGATATTATGATTTCGATGCCAATCAATATGACTGTTTCGGGGCTGTTTTTCGTCGAAAAACCCGCGGCATTTCTGTGACTCTAGATGGGTCAGATAGGTGCCTGGTACTGGACGTGCCCGGATTAGGGACGTCCGGATCTGGGGAGTTTTACTGTGTGGCTACAGCAAATAGACAAACAATGGACATCGGTAACGAATTTTCGACAGCCTGCCCAACAGCCTAGGCATGAGTTTGACCTGCTTCTGTTTGCACAGGATGGGCTTCTTTGTGTGAGTACACAGGTTTGCAGCGTTACTCTAGCTGCCGGCTGGCGCTAGCTTCCAAAATCCAAATGGTACGAAGTACGAGGTGTTCGTCACACCAGAATTGTCTCAGTGTGTCACAGTATCGTTGGTGATGTATGGACCTGGAGAGCATTATACGACTTGTAAGTATTTATCAGCCCATTATTCAAGCTCAACTTGTTGAGCAGGGTGTGGTTTGTCAAGTGACAGGTTTGCTGTGGCAAAGATTTGATTAGCCTCTTATGCTCTATCGATGACAGCTGTGAACCAGACAAGTGTTTAGTCAAGTTGGTGGGAAAAGTCAGTGCAATCGTTAACTTTTAAGCCAGAAACCAACTTTCAAGTTCTTATGCGACTCCAGGTTCCGGAAGAAAAAGGTAGCTTTGGTTTGCTGTGGACGCCACAGTCATGGGTGAAAAATCACATCCTCCGGTACACAATTGGAGAATCTGAAAATACTGCACAGAGGTGATCATGGTGACGAACCAGTGAGAAGGGGACATTTGTAATGTAACCTCAAATTCTGCTTACATACGGGTCATGGATACTAGTATTGATTAGTTTTGGCCCATTTAGGCAGCCACAACTGCAATCTCTATCGTAATGGAGAACATGGGTAATGCATGTTGTCTGTGCGTGTGCGAGATGCCCAGCCCGCTGTCATGATGTACATGCACAGACTCTCAGAGGCATTAGCATGGAGGTTTTCTCCAGCTAAAGGCCAAACATATGATGCCATGGGTTTGACAGTGTGATTAGCCCTTGGCGGATTATGCCGGCATAATATTTGGCATAATCTTGGGATTTCGTCAAAAAATTATGCTCCGGCATAATATACGGATTCCAACGTGTAAGGTCGGCATAATCTTTCGGTTTAGACAAAATTATGCTTAGGGGCATAATACAGCTTTGTCAGAAAGCCTGCAGATGTGGTTTTTTAAATACCCCTGTTACGACTCCTTGTCATAGCCCTTGGCGGATTATGCCGGCATAATATTTGGCATATTATTATTAACTAGTTTGAGGGAAAGAGACAAACGGGAAAAGTCTGAAGAAAAAATTGACTGCCACCACCAGGACTCGAACCAGGGACCCTCGCTTGTAGCCAGCGATGCTCTAAGCACTGAGCTATGGTGTAGTCGTCATCCCAGCAGAGGCCGTTCAACATTCTCTTCAGACTTCGTAACTCACACTTCCTGTGAATCCACACAGGCGGGTGGGACGCAGCCCTCACTGTAACCCACACACTTCACGTACAAACTAGCAAGCGGGGAGCCCCAAGTCATAAAATATTAACTGGATTATTATTAACTGGTTTTGAGGGAAAGAGACAAACGGGAAAAGATTATTATTATTATTATTTGTAAGAAAGGGTTTGCTCCCTTTCTTACAAATTATCGCCGAAGTCGCAACCACTACTTCGTATTATTATTATTATTATTAAATCTTGGGATTTCGTCAAAAAATTATGCTCCGGCATAATATACGGATTCCAACGTGTAAGGTCGGCATAATCTTTCGGTTTATACAAAAATTATGCTTAGGGCATGGCCGTGTGTGTATGCGTGGTTTCTCAATCCTCTATGTACAGCGTGAATACATAGTGGAACCGAGCATAATTCAGCATAATTCAGCATATTCGTTGGCATAATTGTGGCATAATCAAAAGCATAATTTGACTGTGATTGGCCGAGCATAGTCCGCCAATGGCAATGGCTAAGTGTGATGTCATGGGATACATGCAAACTCGACTGGGCCATCAAGAAAACTGCTGTGATGATCTCATCTCTTCAACATGTTTTCACAGCACATACCGAGAAAGCACGTATTCTTTTCTGAGCAATATTAGATTCACACGTTCGAGATCTATGCCTACTATGGTTGGGGAGTTCAGTAAAACTCCCCTAATCCAGCCCCTAATTCGGGCATGTTTGTCTACCGGGCACCTTTCTAACCCATCTACACTAGAGAGTCTAATAGGCGGCAAGTTTTCAACGGAAAACGGTACCAGAAACTATTGATTGGCATAACATTGGCATAACAAAGAGTTTACTTGCATACAGTAAGTATGTGTGTAATTTGTTGTGAGTTACGGGCAATTCCTGGTTGCGGGCAATGATTGGTCCCAACCTGCCCGGATTGGTGGAATTTTACTGTATGCCCAGACACAAAAATACGAAGGTCATGGCAAGCTCAACGTGGACTGCTGCAATTTGTAAACGAGTCGACCCTCTTTCTAGCGGGCAAAACAGCCACTACAGTGCAAGCATGACAGGCAATAGCCTAGGGCAGGGTAAGACAGGCGCTAGGGCAGGGTATGACAGGCGCTAGGGCAGCGACTCAACCGGGGTAATAGTAATAGTCCTATAGTATACCGGTATTCGACACAAACATTCGATGGAAAGACAAGTACACAATCGTCCGCTACACTACAATACATACAACGCATATCACATACTTCAGACTGCCAGACACCATCGGAAAATAGGGCTGTAATAGCCAAAATTTTCCTGGATAGGCTGGTAACTGCCGCCGTTCTTTTCCAGGCTGCAGGGTCTTCGCACGAGATTATTTTGTCCGTAATACTCCCGAAGTCCGACGTCCTGTTTTGAGCGCTTTTCAGAATAAATAAAATGACCTGCATGCTGCCGAGTGCTGGTGCTGCGTACGCGACACACACTCCTCGACACACAATACTGACACCGACTTATGACTCACTGTTATGTACACACTAGCACTGGACAACTAAACTGACCTGCAGCAGAAAAGGTTGAGGGTATACACGATACTCGTAGTCGTCCTCTTGGTCCTCGGGAAGTGGAAGACAAGCTTGCTCCTTCGCTGTCGTCAGCGCCGCTCCTTGCAGTCGGACGCAGCAAGCGCGGCGGATTGACCCTTCGACGACGGCGGCGTTGTGTTGCAACAACAGCTCTCTTACTAGTGCTAGTGAGTCCTTGCTGGGCGCCCGCATTGGGTTGTTGATGGCCCCGCACTATCCGTCGCGAGCTGAGTGCCCTGAGAAAGCGCCTAACCCGCTGTTGCTGCTGCCTCCCTGTGTGGCCGCCTGCAGCACAACTGCTCTCTTGCAGTATTGGCTGTTGGTAGCGTTCATACGACGTTGTAAGCTTAGAGGTTTCAAGAGGCACCTCCGTCATCGCGTGCAGGTCAGTAAAGAGTCAGTTCTGGTTTAATTGGCATAGCAGGCCTGGGCCAGGCTTTGCCTTGCCAAGTACAATACAGTCATGTACATGTAGATCTACATCAGTACATGTTGTGTGTGCGTGTGTTAGTGTTACTTGTTAGTGGGATGAGGGCGTTCGGGTCACTGTGAGTGTGACTCTGAGTCGCTGTGTCACATGGTGTAGGTCACACACGCAGGATGCAGTAGAGTCATGCAGTCGCATGTCGGCTATCCGCAAAGCCGCTGAGACTAAACTATCTGATAAGTCCGATGGTTGTATGAAGCTTGCTTTTCTATTTGCTTGCACAGGCAGTAAGGAAAGACAAGCGAATTTAAACCGCTATGCATCATGATTCAGTTGCTTGTTTTGATTGTCCGACTTGCGTGTTTACAGCTACAGCTACATGTGGTAGTAGAGGGGAGCTTTACTTGGACAACCGATGCGATGCGCAGCTGCAAAAAGAAGGCTTCACTTCGGTCTCAGCCTAGCCTAGCACAATAACTGTGTCAGATGGCTCCATACCGCCATTGCAAGGGGTACTAGAATGGGCCATGGGGCGTCCCTATGATTGTGGAACTCAGCCTTGGTAATGCGGAGCCTATCATATCTGAGACTATTGCAGGGAGTCCTGCGACTCGGGCCGAGGCTGGTCATAAGATTAAGAGGTCAAGGTGAAGATTCTGCAAATTGTATTGGTGGTACATACCGGTACTGCACTGCACTGCACTAGCAGTCCAGTGTGTGCAGTGAATGGAGCAACATGACTGTACTCAATCAGAGAACTGAGATGAGATGTTGAATATTCACTTCAACTGTAAGAGTTCAGACTTCAGTACATTATCAAATTTATCATGCTAGCGATCGCCGCATGCAGGCCCACCATGGCCTCTCGTTTTTTGAATCCCTTGATCAGGGAAGCCTGGATGCAAGCAATGTACAGTGCATACGGTACATGACATTGTGTATGCCAGGCCATGATCCCATTCGGACAGAACTGCTGTGGCACATGATATGACGCAGTGATCCCCAGGATAGATTGGGCAAACACACAGAATCAGTCACGGTTCAACGGAGCTTCAATACGTGTCTATATCATCGAACCTTTAAAACAAAAACAAAAATATCACAAAATGAGAAGAAAAGGTCTTGGATGAAAAGGAAATCAAAGGACGCCGGCGATTTAGTCTTTGATGTGTGGTACATCTCATCATTAAACACAGAAAGAGAAAAAAGAATATCAATGTCAAGACAATCGCATGACACGATAGGAAGCGTACATACTTGTTTTTCGTGTGTGTCCGTCAGGGTTTCAATTTTTTTCTAAAATTTAATACAAATACAAATATACATATCAATGAAGATATTAGCCTAAAAATGTGAAAACAAAATTTCATTTCCTGTTCATGGCATTGGACTATAGCTATTTCGGTCAAAAGCACCCCGATTGATGCCGACTGGACCGAACAGGACATGTGTAGCTAGGCAGGGCTGATAGCGGCAGCACAACAAGGAAGCATCTACGGTCCGGGACTCCACTACAGCGTGACTACTGATAAATATGTCATTCCGCAGGCATCTATATCCCGCGCAGAAAACAGGCGTGCAGGTAAAACAATGGGGCTGTGTCCGATGAAACATGCATGAACAACTCCAGTGTAAGCGTGTTTGTCCGGTTGGTGTCAGCGCCGTTATCGTTGTCTATTTCTACCGTTCAGAGTAAAGTAAAGACATTGAAGAAACACACACACACACAACCAATTGTCATCTTATCCAAGCTGTTCAACTAAAGGCATGCGTAGGTCCGGTGGAAACGGCCGCAGTGCACAGCTATGCACACTCTTTGCAGGGACAAAGACCTCAGCGTACAGCCGTTTTATCGACGGTTGTTGAGCTCTGTGCCCCTGCCGCCGCTGCGAGACTTCTGAGCTTCCTCGCGCTTTGCCTCGACGGTCTTCTTGGTATTCTTGGAAAGGAAATGAACAATGACCACCATGATGAGGACCAGGCCGACAACGCCGAGAGCCACAGCCCACCAGTTCTGCTTGCTCCACTCGATTGCATTGTTGATGGTCTCGGTGGAGAAGAGAGCGTTGCGCAGCCTGGCGATTGGACCCTGGTCGTCCAGGCGCCGGCAGAAGCCAAAGAAATCGCAGAACCCCTCGTAGTCGTCGCAGGGCGCGCCGGGCTGCTGAGAGGTCACAATACCGGTCAGGTTTCTACCGGCGGCCCGCAGTGATGTGCACGTGCCATTGGCGCTCAGCTTGCAGCACACTTGACAGCGATTGTCAGGGTCGGAGCAGAAACAGCTGATTCCTTGATAGCCTAGGCACAGGGAGCCTCGGCAGAACTACAGCATGGACACAGAAGAACAGCAGCAGAACATGATGTGGAAAAGCCTACTTCTACGACACATACAGTCAGACATCGCTTATCCGGTCCTCTTTTATCCGGATCCCTCGCCATCCGGAACTTCGGAACATAGCTGGTTACAGATTTACAGCATACGTGATGCATCCAACATAACCGGTGTTTGGTTATCCGGTTCCCTCGCCTATCCGGATATTTTTGTGGAAAACGGATGTGTGCGGTTAAGCGAGGTCTGACTGTACAAGCAGCATGGACAGTAGTCAGGAACACAAGCACCACCGGCTCTTGTGGGCTATGTCGTTCCATGAAGGAGTCATGCTTGGAGCACAATGAATCATCACCCCAATATTCAGTTGATTTTTACTTTACCCGCATGCTAGGCCACAAATACTGGTTCTCAAGGCTGATTTAACCATGTGCCATTTCATGCCATGTTCACACCCATACTGAACTACATGTTAGGGCCATTTACCAGCCATCAAGCTAAAATCCACGGGCCCAAAACCACTGTCCCCAGTAACGCTTGCGCAGTTCGGGAAACTCGCGCTGTATTTTGTAGGATGACCGCCCCTTAAACATAATAATTATTAGAGTGCATGCATACAGTACAATGGAACAGTCCAACACAGCACGCATTGAATTTGGTAACAAGCAGCATCGTGCACAGTGTGTGTACAATGTACATCGTGTCAATATGCCGATGCAACACTTAGACTGACTTACTCCGTTCAAGCATGTCGCCGTGCCTTCACTGCAGAACGTACCATCCGGCCTGTTTGGAGGTAGAGTGCATTCCGGTTTAGTTCCAGTGCACTCCGAGACAGCGGCGGTCTAGTCAAGGAGAACTTCTGCAATGCACCGTATGGTACTCAACGTACTATAGCGTTGTCGTTGCTCTAAGATCAGGAGCAGAGACGTACTGGTGCCCCAGAATGAAGAGAGAGAGAGAGAGAGAGAGAGAGAGAGAGAGAGAGAGAGAGAGAGAGATAGAGCCAGCTGAGAGAGAGAGAGAGAGAGAGAGAGAGAGAGAGAGAGAGAGAGAGAGAGAGAGAGAGAGAGATAGCCAGCTGAGAGAGAGAGAGAGAGAGAGAGAGAGAGAGAGAGAGAGAGAGAGAGAGAGAGAGAGAGAGAGAGAGAGAGAGTGGTGGGGTGGGGAGGGCCCGGGGGAGAGGGGCAATGGTTTCCTTCGTGGATCTGTTGCAGTATTGTACACACAGAAAGTAGTGACCCGGAATACAAGTACCAGGCTTTACGGCAAGCCTGCCACACGTGACTGTGTGGGAATAGGCACATGACGACACCTAATGGACACTAAAAATACAGGTGTACTACTTGTGCTACGTAGAACACTATGCACAGAGCCTCATTTGGGGAGTTGACCTCATGTAAAACTGGGTGAAGAACAACACCATGCTACGCAGTGCTTGTCTGACAAACGTCACAATGTTAAACCAGTTGCATGCCGGCATACTAATACCGAGTACACGCAATCCAAAGCGTTCAACTAGTACTGACATGTATACACATCAGCATGCTAGAACATAAGTCATTGGTGGAGGAAGCACAACTCAGCTACTGAGTACATGCAACACTTCACACTTCAGCTTGAAAGGATATTCGCATCTGCCAAGTCCAGTTCTGCATTCATTCTCCTCGGTGCAATTTACGCCGGCAGAGGGCTGGACTAGCATGCAACTGCTAGTGCAGCATGGACCTTGCTGCGGGCTACAGGACATACAAGTACATGCACACACGCACACATACACACACACATACACACACATACACACACACAAGGTTTTATATTGAACGTTCTGCCTGTACAGGTAGGCAGTGTGAGGGACCAAGTAAGCCAGCCTTCCCGGTCTGGGCTGTCCACCCATTAAGGTTCAGTCTATCCACCTTATTAAGCACATATAGAGCAATCACAAGTGACCAGTAATAACATGTCTTCATCACACACAGAGTACAGTTGCATGCTACACCTTGGTTGGATTCCGTTGACCCTAGTGTATTAAGCCACGTGTACAACACTGTATGCCGTTGCCCCTCACCTGCACTGCATGCCAGTTTGTAGTACGCATCCCGTCGGTTGACAACACTGTGGATTGTCTTTGCACTGTTGTGAGTTGCCGCAGTCGCAGGTCTCATTGCCGTCGACTACACCATTGCCACAAATCTGACCATTGGAAACCACTGCAGCAGCATCATCAACAAAGCATTGACCCGGGTTAGAAAAACCTGGCCAGGAGAGGCTACAAAAGAAGGCATATTTTTATTGGGCTCACTCACAATCACATTTCCCCATCATCCACATACATCTCTCAGATATGTCTGCTTCCACAGCCCAGCACATGCAATATATGTACACTGTATCTGCCATGGTGGTTACATGCTGACTGAGTTGGCATAAAACGGTGTACCGTGAATACGCCATGCATTGGGGCCCAATCAAATGCACTATCATGGCCAAGTTCTGCAGCATAAAATCAGGCATGTAGCGTGATGCATGCACTTAAAGTTTACTCCGATCTTTTCTTGTAATTGTAATGCTTGTACATGCATAGGGCCAGTCAATGAGTGCTGTACAACAGGAGCATAGCAGCCGGTCCGGTTTCATGCACTGCCTGTCTGCCAGCAAATTTCACATGTTGACAGCAAAAAAAACAAAAACAGCAAAAATGCCTACATTCAAAGCATGAGTCCGTGCGCAGAGCCTTGGCTTGAAGGACGCCGCCAATTTGGTCGCGAGAACACGGCGAGAACATGCGGTTGTTGGGCTCCGAGCCGCTGGTGGCATGGGCGTACATGATGTAGTTGCCGGCACTGCCGCCTGGTGAGCACGTCGCCGTGCTGGGATCGTGCTATGGCCGCCACCGCCGGGCATCAGCAGCGGTAGAGTACACGAACGCACAACACACACACGCACGCACACACGCACAACACACACACACATACATACATACATACATACACAGTCAAAGTCGAACCTCGACAATTCACATGGCATCTCTGGGTCTTTTTTTTGTCATCAAGACATGCGAGTGTGATAACTTTTTTTTTTTTTTTTTTGCTTCTTTGGCTACGATAGCCCTTTACATACATTAGATGGCTGGTACATACAGGGTTAAAGAATAGGAAATGGCCCAGCCCTGCCTTGCCAGTTATGTGGACGTACGGGGGTCGCCATGGCAAATAATAATGAAAAAGAAAAGAAAAAGTGCGAGTGTGATTACTATACGTGTGACATCCGGCCATTGGTCTTCCTAGTTTTGATATGATGCATTGTGGTTCATTCATATTTCCTTGTTATGCATGCAACAAACATTGCTTATCTCTGTTCGTTATTACTTGCACACTTATAGAGTTGTTAAACGGCTCAAATTACGAGCCGCTGCTAGCAGTCACATTCCGTATCTCTACGTGTTGCTTGCTGATTCTGCACGTTTTGCTAGCTTCCTCATCTCGCACGACTATGAGCCGCTCTGCCAGTTGCCCGGGAAGTAACGTTACTTAACCCTTTGCCTTTGCTTTGCGCAACGAAGATGGGCACAAGCTGTGTGCTACGGCAACAAAGAATGCCGAATGCTACAGGATGATGACTAGTAAGACCATTGGACAAACCGCTCTAACAACAACTCGACAACACAAAGAAACAGATCACCTAACTAACTTGGGAGGCTCAAAGGTATGCAAAATACATAAAGAGGGGAAGTTGAGCAAAGACGTATTGTGACAAATCAAAAAATCAATACATGTATCCCTAGTACTAAACTCCATGTTGATGTAAAGATGATGGAAAAGTTACGGACAATAACAATTCCCTTCCCCTCCTTGGAACTTTCCCATGGCCAGCAATCGAGGACATCTGAGAGTTGTAATTTTTGTACTCCACCGAGGTGTGATTTTTGGCATGCTGGGCCAAGCACAAGGAAGCCATCTGCAAAAAAACTTCAGAAAATGGTTGTTGTTTGATCCTTTGGTGTAATCTTTGTTTCTAGTCGAAGCTAGTTGCTGTTTGGAGCAGAAACGCTGAAATTGACTATTTTCTGCATGTACTCATACCTGTACTCATGTACTCAGTCATGCAGTCTCACTCGTATTTTAGCTCTTTTTCTGGAATGGATGCTGCTCTGCGCCCCTTGGTGAACATTTCCTGCGCTCGTGGAGCAGCTGAAAAGGACCACTGGTATGTCTAGTTCCTGGTTTGAAAGTGGAGAGTCGACTTTTGTGCCTTGAAAAAGGAGTAGAGAGCGATAAAGGTACGTCTGTTGCTTATTTTTGGGTGCTCCTCGTACATTTTTGATCGTGATAGAAATTCTCAGACCAAAGTCAGACCAAAGTCAGCGCGATGATGGCCGTACAGTTTTCTTGTGGATTTTTTAGTTGTTTCATCTCGTATCTATGTCAGTATCGTGATGGTGAAGTGGAGAGGGTGATTTTCTTCCTCTAGGCTTCGTTCGGCCGACTTTGCTTCGTCCTCGTTGAAAAGTGATCCTGAAAAAATGTCGATTCGCAAAATTATGTTGATTTTGAATGTACGTGATGACATGCGATTGCTGGCTATGGCACCCGAGCCTTTTAGTTGGAAGGTTGTTGATTTGCGCTTTGTAGATGTATTGAAGCTAGGTCTAAGGTTGTTGAATGTCTCAGTACCCATGTCAGCTTAGTGCCTATCGTCGCACTATCTGACTGTATATCATCTCGTTACCTTGCAGCTTGGTGGACCGTTAGTCATAACTCGTAACATTTCGGTCCTTCCTCATGTAATTATACTAGCCAGGTTTCCGTAATCATATAGCATAGATACACTAGACTTGGTCAGCTTACGTTGGATCCCATGTTATGCCCAAGCTCATGAGCAAAGGTCAGATAGGAGACCTCGCGTGCCACCTGCTTGCCAAAGTTGAGTGTGGTGACGATACCAGTGTTCAGAGTCTTCATGAAGCCATCGCTGTAGCGCTGGTACTTGTCACAAACACCTGCAGCCATGAACAATTCATGCCGAATATTGAATACATTTTAACGATTCATGCAGAACACTGAATGTATGAACAATTCATGCAGAACATTGAATGCACTTTAGCAATTCATGCCGAACATTGAGTGAAATTCTACACACTACTGCGGACCAGGTCTGCACAATACCAGTAGATAAGGCTTGAAATACTATCTCTGGCAAATGGCATGCACAGCCTTTCCTAGGTCCTGGAGGGTATATATTTAGGCAACATAGTGTGGCAATGCACCCCTTTCAAAGTGCCCAAATACAATGCATGGTGCGACTTATCAACACCCTTGCAGATTTCCAACACACAACCATGCACAAAATTTCCCTGCCTCCTCTTCAATTTCAACCTTGGTACAACCCTGGTATTGTCGGTACTTGATGTGTACTGTTCGGATTCACCAGAAAACAATGAACACCATCTGTTTATCCAGTAACTAGGCACATGCCCCGCACGTGCATTATTATGTGCATGGGGTATTATTGATATTACCCCATTTTAGGGTAAAAATCCGGCTACTCATATGACCACATGGGATGGTCATGTTGGTTTCAACTCCACTCTGCCCCTGCATTTATAGATCATTCCACTGTCCACATGCCATGATCACTTTCCACACAAATTTAGTCACATAGCGAAGATGCGAAAACACTCTATTACATGTATATCAGCGCCCAGAAATGCCAGGCCCACTACTAACCTCCTGCTGAATTACCCGCGGAACCGACCCAGGCCAAGCCAAGCACACCATTATCAAAATCACGATTGGTGAACAGGTATGCAAGGCAGAAGTCAGTCAGATTTCGCTGGAATGAAACAGGAGGACAGAAAGAAAGCAAGAAGCAACTACATGCACATGTGAAACAGACAGGTCCTAAAGTAGGCTTTTTTAAAGGGATTGACCAGAAAACAATGAACATCATCTGTTCGCTAATCTCCGCTACTCGTCGTCTCACCTGGCTTCAGAAGATGTTACGAGAGCTAGGAGAGTCTCCAGCAGGCAACGCATCCATCTTCAAGGAAGTGGAAAGAGAAAGCGGCATGGTCCTTGAATGCGGTAAATGCTGAACGTTTGATTTGTCCCAACCAAGATTTCAGCACTTGGTTCGTCACAATTTTCGATTGCCAGCTAACGTCTCCGCACCCCAGCTTTCCCCTGTCGGTGTCACGTCCCAGTAGTAGCAGTACACAACGGAGAGGACTACTAATAAACAGTTCACGGCACTAACAGCATTAAACACAGCGCTTCTTTCACTTCGTGAATACTATAAGACAACTGGAAATGACACAATTCTGCAGTGATCGACCTTCTCTCTCACGGAGCTAAGCAGAATGTGCGTCATCACCTGTAGTCGTCATGGAAACGCAATCAGAAAATCGGCGATATGGCAAGTTCGCAATATCGTACGGTGGCGAGAGATATACCATCGGAACCGATATCAAATTGTCTTTCATCTGAGCACTTCCCCTTTAACAGAACTCAGTATGTACGGAAAGAGAGCGCCCATATGTGGATCGCACATACTATTTTAGACAACACACACCATAGCAGATTTGATTTGCACAGGTTTTCCCACTATCCGCCGATGATCACTCGAAGCAGAACCACTGGGCTGGTGGTGCATACCAAGCCCGCTTCTATGAGGTCTACATACAGGGCCTAGTGGCCTAGTACTGGTAGTAGCAGTAGCCTATGATATATGGACTGTGTGTACAAGTGCACTCTCCATATACTGGAACGTTAGTTTAGTGATAGCTTGCATACCGTCCTACCGGTAGGACCACGGGTCCTACCGGTAGGACCCAAGAAATCGAGCTGCAAAAGTGCTTTTGGTTGAGAAATTTTTTGAAACAATTGTTGAGATGAGGTCTTTGTCAGGCAAAGTAATGGCGCAAAATGCAAGATTATGTCCAGTGCATTGCGTATGCGCAATTTTATCGATAGTCAAAATGGCCGCACATAATCCTGTCGGTGCGCTAGCAACTCTGTCCAAAGTGAATTTTGACCATGGCACATCAATTGTGGTGAGGTCCTAATGTTTTTATCAGCTTGCCAAGGCCGTGGAATGCATAATACCATACTCCGTATCCATGGTTACAATAGGTTGTTACCATGGAATTTCGTAGTATGCCTTGTGCGATCACGTCTAAAATTTGTGGACTCCTTCATTAGCCCCTTAGCAACAGTTTAGGGTCAAGTTTTAGGTCAATGTTAGAACAGAGGCCATGCAGCATGTCTGTGTATGATGGTCCTACCGGTAGGTCCTACCGGTAGGACCGAGGTCTATGCAAGCTATCATTAGGGTTCCCAGTAAAAATGCAACGCCTGTTGGGACTCCCCTAGTAAAATAATAAAATCTACTACTACTACTACTACTACTACTACTACTACTACTACTACTACTACTACTACTACTACTACTACTACTACTACTACTACTACTACTACTAGTTTCCAAGGTCAAGGTCATGCATGTTTCTTCACGAAAATAATTGGGGCAAAATCGACGTGTGACCATTATCCCCGGTACATTCATTCCATTTTGACAAACTGGACCGTTGCATGCTGACTTCAAGATGGGTGGTCACAGACACGGATTCAAAGCGAGAAAAGCAATAATCCACGCCTGCTCACAATATTCGGAAACGTTTCGCATGCAATTCCCACTGCACAGCAAACCACCATGACTCCCCGCCCCCCCCCCCAGGTCAGACGCAAGTATCCCTCCGCTAATCTACAAGTCTTATCCTGGAAGTGCAGGATGATAAAGTGTTGTTTACGCCGATGATCCATACCTGTGACCACAAATCCAGGAATCGGTCAACGCCAACCAGCTGGGCAGACAAGCCGGACCCAAGACTGTTCGAAGTCTCACTGGAAAGCACATACACCTGGACTGTCCTGATGGCAAAGGTAATGCCCTCGTTCCCGTCCGAGCTCTTGATGAAGTTCGTTGTTGTGTAGATCAGATTGACGTTCATGACGTAGCGACCGAGCACACGTGCCACGGCTGATCGAACTCCGGTCTTATCGGTTGCCAAGTCAATACCTGAGATTCAGATGGAGAGTGGGAAGACAACAACATAACTATTTCTTAGGCCAGTCCTGTACCATCCATCTTTCCCGCTTATACACAAATACGGCAAAGACACGACAGAGGCTGTGCAATTCTGTCAGTATTTGAAGTGGCATCACAAGAAGTAGGCTTTTCAACATCATGTTTGTTCATGTTTTGTATAATTTTTGCATCTTTGGGGTGTAAATGTATTCTCGGGGGGGGGGGGGGGCGGCGGGGAGTGCATCTTACAGCTGGTGTTTTCAGGGCTTTGGATGGATTATCGGCCCCAAAGGTTTAGTATTTTGCCGACTCCAGTTCAACATGGTAGGGTTTCTTGGGTTTTGCGCGGTGTGACCACTTCAAAAGCATTGGCTTGCCACTAAATACCACGATGTGACTTCCATAGCCGCTGTAGAGGCTAAGCGAGCCATGCAATAGGGCTTGAAAGTGATGACGTCAAAACGGCCAGGGAGTAGTAAGTTGACATCAGATTTCTATTTTCGGATCCACTAAGGTGTGACTTTGCTATTGCCTAAGTATGTGGGTGCATAGCAACCCACTCATGTCGCATGCAGGTGTGACTTTTATTTCGCCACCAGTTGTAACCCCGCCCCCAGTAGCCAAATCAGTCAGTTTCACTGGCTACATCACCATGCTGTGGGTAAGACCGCTTGAAATGTGCTTGGATCCATACAAAAACTGGATCCAAGTGGATCCAGTTTTTGAATTTTTGAAATTGTTGCTATGCTGTGACGTAGCACTTTCAAGCCCTATAAATGCGGCATGACGAGTCATGTCCCCAGCGCGGCCAAAGTGACTGAAGATTGCGATGTGTTTGATGAGATCATGTACAGTGCACGTACACATTGTCTACTATATGAAGTACCAGTTGGACATACGTCACAACGTGATTGCACACGCTTATTTCTAACTACTGCCGTGGACATTAAGATCCGATGGGATGACCGGGGCCGGCACCTTTACTGCGTTTAGCGTGTACACGCACTGTGCACGTGTAGTTCATGTACACGCACTGTGCACGTGTAGTTCATGTACACGCCGCGTAAAAACGGACCAGCAGTTCTCGCGGCTGCAAGGCCAACGCCTCGTGGCCGATTGACGTCTCAGCGGATCAGTTCAATGTCTATTACAGTACATGTACTTGTAGTATAGATGTATGGGCACTGACTGTGCTCGGCCAAAGAGAGATCATGTCCCCCCCCCTGGCTACAAGGGTATCAGCACACACACGAAAGTTAGTTCCTGAAGATCTCTCCTCACCTTCTTCTTTGGCAACCTGCTGCGAGAACAAGTGGTCACCAGCAATCTTGATGCGGCATTCAACGTATTCTGAGTTTGGTGCTCTGCGCTGACGGTGGTGGTGCTCCTCCTGTTCCTTAGCTTGTTTAGCATAACTAGCGTTCAGCTGACGTTCACCGGAGTTCTGCATGTTCTCCATCCAGTGGCGCAGCTCATGCGAGGCACCGCAACTGTCACCGGAAAATTCAACATCACTCGCCTTGTACACGATGGAGTGAAACTCCGGGTTGTCAAAGTAGCGGCGTGACGGCTCAATGTGAAACCGATCCTCCTTGGTTTGAATCACGCCATGGAACTTGCCATTCGCAACTGTTCCAGCCACCGATGACAGGTCGTCGCCGATTACCTTTCCGGAGTAGAACTCTGAGTGGTCATAGGGAAATGGTTTGCCATTACCATCAATGAATTTTGCATCCGGGTGGAACACATGATGGTGAGGGTTCAGCTTAAGTCTGAAATACCTGCAGAGGATGATGTCAGCATCGCAGCAAAAGAACACAACCATAAAAGAGAGACTCATGCTGACTTGGAAAGATGATTGCGACAATTACACAACAAGAAAACATTTTTTCCTACACACAAAGATAAATCGACACACGCGCCAAACCTGTATCTTCAAACATCTGTGACCACTGCGCTAAGACGTAAGAGACCTCACTAGAAGACCACTGCACTAAGAGAACACCTATGTTATGAGGCCGGCCATCTCAGGCCACCCCCGGCAACATACTCCTGGGTAGACATGTTCGGCTGTGCACCTGTGTTGAAAGACCACCTGTCCATAAACACTGGATTTCTGAATTTCTGTGCACCCCGGGTCACAGTGTTCGCTAAACACAGGTTCTTTCACTGTTTTGTTCAATGCTGTACATACGATGCTGTTTCTTTCAATCAGCAGCAAACAGGCCTGCCCACTGGTACACATAGTGTTCACTGGCAACAAGCATGCACTGGGTGAACAGTATCATCCGAACTCAAGACACCCCTGCTTTCCCCCGACGACTACGGCAGCACGTACTTGCCATGCGACGAAAACGACACCTCCAGTGGGTCACCGAAGAAGCGGTTGTAGCCCTTTGTCTCACGCTTTACTCTGGCATGCTCCTGTGCCAGCGGTTCCGTGTTGTAATTGAGCTCCTCGTAGTGGCTGATATAGGTGTCTAGCCGGCCTGCATGAAAGGACACAAAGCGCAAAACGTACGCTTGACTAGAAGTCCCAACAACACAAAATTTCGATATACCAAAATCACACACTTCAATCGCATCTATCTGAGTTCCTAGAGCACAACACACACTGCGTGATCAACAAAGGTTGAAGAACCTTTCAAAACCAGGGAAAAAATTGAAAACCAGATCTATTCATTTATTTATTTCTGCACCTCGTAGCGGCATGTCAAGACAGCCCAGTCAAGGAATGTCACGGTAGTAAACCCTGCACTGCAGCAGAGTGTGCATGCGCTGACCCACCTGATCTGTGTTGATAGAGCATGCGTTGGCACATTACCAATTTATCATACTACTGTGACCCCCAGGTATCTATAAGACACGGTAGTGACTTGGCACGGGCAAAATTCCCTAAGTCAGTAAGTGACTGTGTTTCCAAACACAATTGTGCAGCCAGTGGTAACATGGATGTACGAACTTTACTTTCACATAGAACCTGGAACTTGAGCTCAGTGACTATCCAATAGTGCCGCATAGAATACACAGTAGTCTGTCAAGAGAGGTATAGATGCCATTTCTACGCAGACACGTTCAAATGCAGTGTAGGAACGTGGTTCGAATCCTGAACAGACCGATCTGGCAATAGAGGAAATGACCCTTCTTTAAAGAGGACGTAAAGCCTAAAATACTTTTCGCCAGTTTCACACCAAGGCCCGGTTCAACTCGAGTGACAGGAACGCGCCCAAACAGGCTGTAAGTTGTACCCTGCAGGCAAGCCTGGCACGGTGACCAGGTGACTGGTGTACGCATGAGCACGTGACCACCTATTCAACCATGCTCGATTGGGAATAAGGGCCGAACACTGCATCGCAGCCTTCTCGGACCAAAACTAGTCGACTCAGCGTGCAAAAGACTACAACATATGGGCTTGAGTCGCGGTCATCCATGCTTTTATAAGAACGAAATGGCGCTTTTAGTGACATTTTGCATACAAATCCCCATCTAGTAGGGCGCAGTCTCCCAGTTCCGGTGGAAGTGGCGAGTTCGATTGGGAATATAGGACCCTTCCCGGAAGGGAGCGTCTCAGCTTCCTCGGACCAAGACCATTTGACTCAGTACCCCTGGTGAAAATTCGATTTTAGGCTTTACTTCCGCTTTAATGCAACAGGGCGATATTGAGTACCATCATTTTCTAGCCACACATTCAACCTTTATCGATGAGACCCTTCATGACCAAATCAGCTGTTTGAAGGGAGTTAACATCTACCAATCATGGTATGCGATGGTAACGTCGTCTGAGAGAGAGAGAGAGAGAGAGAGAGAGAGAGAGAGAGAGAGAGAGAGAGAGCGAGAGCGAGAGCGAGAGCGAGAGAGAGAGAGAGAGAGAGAGAGAGAGAGAGAGAGAGAGAGAGAGAGAGAGAGAGAGAGAGAGAGAGAGAGAGAGAGAGAGAGAGAGAGAGAGAGAGAAAGAGAGAAAGAGAGAGAAAGAGAGAGAGAGAGAGAGAGAGAGAGAGAGAGAGAGAAGTGGTGTGCTGGATAAAGTGGACTACTTGTACCACAGCCGTGGAAGGTAATACGATGCTGTGCAAGACAGTCCATATAGGGGAAAAAACCGATGGACGTGGCTAGCTATAAGAGAGGTTCCGCCCGGCGTTTTTTCCATGGCGTTTTTCCCCGTCGTGAATGGCATTTGAACGTCGTGTTCGAGCATGAGCGACACTCTGTTGGCGTTCAAGAGTGAGATTTTGGTGCCGATATGAAAGTGGAGAACGTGTGGGGGGGGGGGGGGGAGGGAGCCTTTCTGTCATCACATTCTACGAATAGACATGGATGTGTATGCACAGAGCTGCAGTAACGTTACCATGGTTACTGCTGAGTTCATTGGTTGCCAGCCTCTTCGCTTGAATAATGTAATGAGTTTGTTCACAATCACGAGCAGTAATACTAATCCAGTGGCCTGAATAAAACATGATGAGGCGTGCACAGCGGTACACCATTACATGTATAAAGTTATCTATGAGCACTCGTAACACACAGTCAATACGAGGAAAACAGAAGTAAGAAAGTCCTCGACTCGAGTAGAAGCTGTGATACTGATAGCCTAAAGTAGTTAGTGTGACGACACCTCAACGGAAACACCAGATGCAGATAGCAGTGTCTCGGTAGCGTAGCATAGCCACAAAAGACAGCAGTGCATTTGTCAGACACCGCGAGGGACGTAACATCGGTGCGGTGAGAACGTACAAGAAAGTAAGTAGTTGTAAGTGGTTGGTGAACGGTTCTCTGGACAGTCATTGCACACGCCGAGCATGACAGTGGCATCTAGAAAACTAACGACGACTACTGTTGTGCTACACAGAAAAATCGAAATGCCACACCCGACTGACACGGTGCCGTTAGAAACATTCCTTGTCGAGTTGTTCGATACTGTGATCGCAATCGGTCAACGTAAAATGTTCAGACATGTCGACAGTGTCTCAATAATCAAAATGCACAGACACACACGTAAAAACGTTCATACAAGTATTTCCTCCTAATATCAGCAAACGAAGGAGCAGAACTTACGCTTGGGTCGTGCCGTTACCGTGCTGGTCATCAACGCTAGTAGCGAACACACTAGGGCGGCGAGCTGGACTATCGAAGTAAACATGGCGACGTCCTGTGTGCTTCAATCACAGATCCGACCGCGAGGCAGAATAAAATTCTACTCGAGAGATATTCTCGATGCCTGTCGCGACCAGCAGCTTACTGTAGCTCGCTGCGCCAACTCGGCCAGGTCCCGAGCAGGAAGATCGCGTTCCGCCTCGGTCAAAATAACCGTCTACAGTCTACTTAGCAAACAGCACATTATTTGCAGACAAAGTTCTCCTCTGCTCGGATAGCTTTCTCTCTCTTCCCCTTACGAATGAACCCTGCATGCATTGACAAAGTGACAGTGAGTCTGTCGAGTTGTCGTAGCACCGCCACCAGTCCATTGTATGTACTACCAGTCCAACAAAACATTCATGTACATACAACAGGGGTTTAGATTTTAGAAGCACTGCATGCACTCGCTAGCTAGCGCTAGCGCTGGGGCACACCCCATGCCCATGGCCCATACTGCACTGGGCCATAGCACATCCGCTTCACACGTACAAAAATAGTGTCAGAGTTACAATGCATTGTGTAGATATCTACAGTCTTCACTTCAGCTCAGTTGACGTGAGAGCGGAACTGACTTATCGTCTTATGACAAGTGCAAGTGTAGACTCACTGTAGTGACATCAGAAGCTCGATCTGCTATGCTCAGCTCACGATCACGTACAACGCGCCTAGGCCAGGGTGGTTCATAACCCCGAAATACCTCTTCGTCGGAGTCAGTCTTCGCTTGTCATGCGAAAGCCTAATTTTAGGCTTTTGTGTAGTAAAAGAGCACAAAAGACGGGTACTTCGAACAAGAAACTCTTCCAAACTCCCCGACATGACTCTTGCACAAGAAACATCTCCTGCCTGTTCACTGTTGTCGCCATTTCAGAACTCAGGAAACGCACGGAGCACCCAAGCCTAGGCTCGCTCGTAATACAATGGCAACCATGATGGCAACCATGATGGCGGCCATGATGGCAACCAGGGAGTCGTAAAAGCCCGGGAGAGGACACGGCACACATTCCCAGAAAACATCTTTGCCTCGCGCTGCCGGGGAACGCTGCCAGGGAACGGTGTTGCGAGGCAAGGAAATTATTATTTTCGAAAATTGTGATGTCTTCTTGAAATACTAATTGGGACATTCTCCGATTTCTCTTAGAGCACGGAGACGATTGCTCCGTCGAGTCTTCTGATCTCTATTTTCATCCTCAATTCTTCCAGCTGCCTCACTCATTCTCTCTCAGTTTATCGAAGTTAATTTATTCTGAGGCGATGGAAATGCAAGATAAATCCCTAATTGTACTTCAATTTTATTTGAGTTGGGGTGAACGAAATGAGATTTGTGGAAAATGACGCCACTTCCCGTGTTAGCCGCTGGTCGTATCATACAGCCCATATTCCATTGCAGGTGATGGGCGAACGTTCGTGTTGAGATCCGCTGAGTTTCCTCGTACTCGTGGAGTTGAATTTGTGGCAGAAATTGCACTGAATTGCAGTCAAATGGTTGTGAATGAAACGAGATTTGTGGAAAATGACGCCACTTCCCGTGTTAGCCGCTGGTCGTATCATACAGCCCATATTCCATTGCAGGTGATGGGCGAACGTTCGTGTTGAGATCCGCTGAGTTTCCTCGTACTCGTGGAGTTGAATTTGTGGCAGAAATTGCACTGAATTGCAGTCAAATGGTTGTGAATGAAACGAGATTTGTGGAAAATGACGCCACTTCCCGTGTTAGCCGCTGGTCGTATCATACAGCCCATATTCCATTGCAGGTGATGGGCGAACGTTCGTGTTGAGATCCGCTGAGCTTCCTCGTACTCGTGGATTTATGAATTTGTGTCAGAAATTGCACTGAAATTGCAGTCGAGTGGACTTCTGTGCGTGTGTTGTGAGTGAATCGCAAAGGCTCCCTTCCTTCAGCATCGTCAAAACGCAACATAGAGCATTATTACGCACTCGTTCCATGATTCATGATATTGCCTGGATTCTTTTAAAAACAATCAATGTGTGTTCCCTATCTATCTACATTGTACATGGTTGCAGGTCGTTATTTATTATGTAGATCTTGTTAAAATTTTCTACACTTTTCTACTCGTATACTGAGTACGCGGTGACTTTAGCCGTTTAGGAAACGGAAGGCTCAGCCTCCAGGTTGGCCAGAAAGGTTCTCAGTGAATCTAACCGAAGTCTTGGCGAGTGTACAAAAGGTAAACCTATCATTTGTACTTCATAACGGAATTGTGCACAAAAATGCACACGCACGCGTGCGCGCACACACACACACAAACACTGTACAAACACACAGAAAAGTACAAGCACATGTGCACATACACACGCCTCCCCCCACACACACACTCAACTCCCCACCCCCTGTACCATGTGTACTGAGTCTGACAGACAGACACACAATCATGTTTATGCTTCCTTCGCCACCAGTTTCGGATAATGGTGTCAACAACGAGTTGTAAAATATTGGTATTTTAGGACTCCCTGCCCCGAAGACGAGCACAGCGCCGTGGATCGTGCAGATCCGGCCGCGCCGGCCTACCGTGCTTCACTTTCTGGCCGAGGCAAACATCGTCCGCGTGCGCGCATCCCGTGTCCTCTCCCGGGCTTTTACGACTCCCTGATGGCAACCATGATGGCGGCCATGATGCCTCTACATATACATGACATGTACCTCGAGCAGGCGATTCTTGGCGTCGTGAAAGGACATTGCCGCTAGAATCGCCATCGGTAGTCTTCCACTCACTCTCTCTCTCCTCTCTCCTTTCGTTTACGCTTCAATATCAAGAGTGAAGTTTGCTTGCGCTGCGAGCCATTTTCTGTGGCGCTGTCGTCCATCTTCGCCGAGCCTAATTTTTGGGGGGGGGGGCGACAGTGGGCGGAGCGTCTAGACTACACTCGGATCGTAGACAGACAGTCTAGTCACGGACATACATGTACATGTAAATACTGTAGGTACAGCCAGATTGTCTCTCATCATGCTCACACTCATACTAGTCATAGTGACCAGTCATAGACTCATATCGCCCAGGCCAGGGTAGGACTAGGACTGGTGCAGTCCGGCCGGTGGTGGCTGTGGTGGTGCTGGTGGTCCACTATTCACTAAGGCACTATGGTACACACCCCACTTGGCACTTTCACAAGACTGGGTTGAGGAGGTACGTCTCCTTTCCCTGGACCCAATTTTGAATCTGTCCCTTCTGGGATGTCAAAGCACTACCTCCAGCTCCCCTGCCCTGGCCTGGGTTTCGTTGTGATGTGATGGTGACCTGGTTCCCCCTTCGCGTTTGACTTGCGCAAGCGGCGTTAACTACTAGTAAGGCTAAGGTCTGGTACAAACAGAACATAATGCAAGCGCATGCAGTCGCTTTACCATATTATTTACCGGGGTTGCACGCCCTGGTTACTAACTAGACAAGTACCCCATGGGCCTTGCTCGGCATGAAATTTTCCATTCCAGGCGACCCTCCCAGTCATAGCACTCGACGTAATGTCTGCAGTGCTGCCATATCTGACTTTCTCGGTCATTTCCATGACGGGTCTGAGCGAGAAATGACGCCCAGTGGTCAATGGGCTAACACTACAGAAGATACAGGTGTCAGGTGATGACAACCCAGCGTGTGACACTTCAATCTGGAGACATGATGGAGTTGCAGAAGGTACCGTAGTTACGTGTACATGTACGTCGATGGCTAAAAGATCCTAAATCAATGGGTATCACCATATTTGTCTGGAAAACAGGAGCGCACTTGTGAGAAGTTGTGTGCGTGAGTTGGGCTGTGTGTGCACTCACTGAGCGTGTCATGAGGAGGGAGGGCGAATCATCGGAATAATAGTGAAAAACGTGGACAATTGGTAGATGGTCGGGAGAGAAGCAGAATGAGAGATAACATGTGCGTCAGGAGGGAGGGAAGACGCTAGTGAGGCACTGGTCTACATAGGGCGTCGGTGGCTGTTTGCCAGTTCACATGCAGCAGATACTCGTTGCACTTTTCCTTGGAAGAATGAAGCTACATGTACAATCATATTGTTAGATTGACAGCAATTTGAACTAGTATTGGGTTATATAATACAATGTACAATCATGTATGTGTGTGTGTGTGTGTGTGTGTGTGTGTGCGTGTGTGTGTGTGTGTGTGTGTGCGTGTGTGCGTGCGTGCGTGCGCGCGCGCGGGGGGGGGGACGCGTGTACAAGCTCGTGAGACCAGAAAAGAACACTCACGATCACTGACTCAGTACTCGTTGAGACAATGAGAGCAGCAACGACTCAGAAGTACTACTGGTTCGGTGCCTGCATGCATGCAGTATGAGCTGCAGTGCCTGGTCTGTAAGCCAAGAGTCATCTAAATATGGATATTGACTGCTTGAGGTCAATGAGGTTTCGAGATAATGACACTCGTGAGTAAGCAGCATATTTATTTGGCAACCTACATGTAATCCTGTATGGGCCGAGTTCACATCAACGCTTCAATTCACTACCCTATCGGATCTGAGCATGTACATGTACATGACTGTATTACAATTAGGGCTGACACGATTATACCGAATAATCGAGTACATGTACTCGTTGGTAACTCTAACGATCGAGCAATCGTTTAGATAACCGATTACGATTATTTTGCGTTTTTTAAATTTGTGTCCAGAAAGTACTGTAAACCCTCGTTTTGTGAAGTTTGAATCAGTTTCCGCTGGGAGTATGCAGTTGCCAGGGGTATGGTTCATGTTCTGAGGTTAAATTGACTTCAAAACTGCCATGTTTCGGAGCTACCCTTTCACTAATGCAGATTTGTTGGTATTATGAAGGCATAGTTTGTGGAAATAGAGTAATGTTTGCACAGAATTATGACACTATTTGCTAACGACTATAATTGATTACTCGATTGTTAAGCTAAAGAGTAATCGATACGTGAAAATCCACGATCGTTTCAGCCCTAATTATAATATTGTACATCAGTTTAACGTGTGGCAGTTGTGCTGCGTGTCATTGTAATAATAGAGTCACGTGCTACCTTATAAAGAGGCTTTATAAAAGCATCACATAGGACCACATGTACACACCGTGTGCAGTACAGGTAACCAGTAGAGCATCTTCCAGAACTATTTAAAAATAGCTATTTTTTATCTGCTGTAGGGGCCACCCGCAACTACCAAGATTTATTTAGAAACGAAAACTAGTCATTTCTCGTCTTTTCTTGTCACCCGCCCCCCCCCCCACGATTTCAACAGAAAAAGCAGAAATACGGGCCTGATTATTCAAAAACTCAAGAGAGCTACACCTCTCGTTGAAATCTGGCGTAAAACGCCAATCGATAACCCATTTTACATGAAATTTCACATCATGTCAAAACAACGCACAACTTCAGTTAATAGTTTCAATCAACACATCCAGGCAAGTATATTAATTAAAAGGAAAAGAAAAAAGCTCAGTCGAAACAGCACAGCAATGTCATTTTTCTCAGCATCACAACTTACTACAGTGTACAGTCAGTATTGAAGAAAGTACAATAATCTATGAGTGTATGTGTGCGTTCAGGGGGGGGGGGGGGATTATGTACAGATACGAACTGGGATCTGAGCTTCTCATTTCTCCAGTGGAGCGTAGTTCAAGAGCTTCTCGATAAGATCGACGTGAGACAGCAGCATTCTTCGGCAGCAGTAGCGCTTGAGGCCGAGTGCATCCAGTGCATCTCTATAAAGGCACAGCAGGAAATAAGAGGAGAGGGAGAGAGAGATTCACTTGGGGGTAAAGCTTGTTTGAAAAAAAGAAAAGAAAGTGCCCCCTGTGAGGATCGAACTCACGACCTTCAGATTATGAGACTGACGCGCTGCCTACTGCGCTAAGGAGGCACACACTGCATAATGACATACCAGTACACCCTTAGTTGTTCACAAGGGGACATTCCTGCAATTCACAGAAATCCCCGATTTTCTGCTCGATTTTGCCCACGTTTTCCGGGCTGAGGCCCGCTCCCAAACCGCATTGTATTTCTACGAAGTCCCTACTTTTCACTAAATCGCACTTTGCACTTCTCACAGTTCTGCACTTTCCTTTTTGGCAGTGCATATCCAAAAATAGCCTACGGTGTTTTCTCTCAGATTCACCTAGGGTTCACCTGCACCGTGCCGTACTCACTGCTGTTACACTGAACGTGATCCTGGACATTTGGTTCCGGGTGCGAGGTCCCCGGACAAAGACCCTCACATCGCGTTCAGACATGATTGAACGTGTTTGAGATGTGTTGTGATATCGCCCACTGTCTAGCCCCTGCCCTGTCCTGGAGGCTTTACACCCATGTTTACATTTGTTAAAAAAGATCGACCGTTAGGCGCTGCATCTGCCGCTAGGGTTTATCGGGTGTTAGCGGCCGTCGTGAGTTCCCTTCGGGAACGGATACGATAATTTACTTTTACTTTTTACTTACATTTGTTTACGCGAGTAAGCAGGATGAAGAACGATCTGTGAAAATTTGGTGTTCGTAGCTTGAATGAAAGTTGTTTTTCGGTAGCCTTCTTCTTCGTCGTCCTCCATTGCTTTCTTCTTCGCGTGTGTCCTTTTCTCAGCCCCTCTGTTGTTGTGAAGATGAATTTCGGCTGACTTGCTTGCAATTTTGGAGGGTTTGCTGTGATTATTACAGCCTGTTGTTGGAACAAGTTGTGCTGAGCGGTACACTGTACGCGAGAGCGGAGGCTCTCAAGTTCGTATAATGGCCACCCTCGCGGGCCATGCTTTGGTGCTGGAGAAAGTGTGCAGGATAGGTGGAGTGAAGTTCTCCAGACACGGAACGTCTACCAGCTATGTAGCCAGGAACTATGCCGGTGAGATCCAATCTTGTTTTGGTGTAGACATCCTGAGTGACGAAGAAAATATTCATCCAAAGCAAATCTGTGAGCTGTGTTATAAAGTCATTCAGCGCTACATGAATACCAGTACTGGTACCTTTGTAGTGTCTGGAGGCTGTGGCAATGTGAAAGTGTGGGAGGAACATGAGGACAGCGACTGCATTGTGTGCACTGAAGCTCGTGCCGTAGGTAGGCTAGCAAAGAAAAAAAATCAAAAAAAATCAATCCCTGCAAGCCCCACGCTTGAGTCCTGTATACGACCAGGCACGGTAAGTGAGAAAGAAGCTTGTCTTAGTACAGAGAAAGCATCCGGTATTGACATCGACTCTTTCTCCGAATTCCAGATGAATGGCACACAAAGCTACACTACCAGACACATGCTTCATCCAGAACGCTTCACGCATGGTGTCGGTCACGTTGAATGCAGCATTTGTCGCCTTGTACTGGACAATGCCATCGAAAAACACCGTGTTGTACTTCAAGTAGAATTTGTTTTGTTGTGCATGTATTTGGCATTGGCTATCAGGCTCCACGCTTTGTCCTATGTGCCGTGAGCCACTTCTTGCCTCAACCGTCGTGAAGCCGTCTGCATTTGTGTTCAGTACATTAGCTGCACTAGAATTACACTGTGATCATTACGTGTTGTCAACAGACGGTTGCCCGACAGTCGTGCCCTTGTACCAACTGCGGAAGCACGCTGAAGCTTGTCCATACTCACCATCCACACGCGCACACACCCAGCTCCCTAGACTAGTCAGGCTTTCGTCCAGTGTCCAGGATGCTTCGGACGCATCCCCTGCAATGTTGGCAGGAGACCTTGGTGACCGACTGTTGCGCTATTGCTATTTGGTCTCATGCAAGGAAACTGATGGAGTCCTCGAGGTGAAAACCAACCAAAGAGGCCGCCCTCAGACGTACATAAGAACTGTGCATGGGACTGTGCCATCCGACGATGCAAGTCGGCGCACTCTTAAACGGCGGTTTAGTGCGGTTGAAAAGCCACTGGACTTGTCTCCGGATCCGCAGAGAATGCTGAGACGTTCGCTGCAGCCAGCCTGCGGTCGATGCAAAAGGAAAAGAGAGACAAGCTACTCGCAGATGCTGGCCCGACCTGCAAGGCACCTGTTGCAGGGAGTGATGTTGCCTTGAAGGCTGACCTTCACCTGACCTGGCACAACCTCCGCAAGCTAAGACTAAGAGTATGGCTTAAGGATTTTGGGGTTTGTCCGGAATCAGAGAGAACTATAAGAAAGCAAATTGAAAAGGAGCTGCCCTTTGCGATTGTAGCTGAGAGCGTTCCCATGATCAATAAGCATGGGCAGGCTGAGTTCTCGCCGTTGGTGTCCGTGCCCGACCTGCATGCCCTGGTCATGCACTACCTTGATGAGCACCACAAGGTCGGCAATCTGGTCTGGCATGACGGTGGTATTGCCAGCGACCTTGTCGTGGTTAAGATCGGCGGGGAACATGGAGGTGGCAGCTTCAAGCTGTGCTTCCAGATTGCCAATTGCCCGAATCCGAATTCCCTGAAGAACACAGTGCCGGTTGTGTTCTTCGAGGCAAAGGATTTCCCCGCCAACCTCGCAACAGCCTTGAAGCCGTATTATGCGCAGATCGAGTCCCTGCGCCACGGCTCGTGGAATGAGCACAGCATCAAAGTGGTTCTTTTCGGCGACTACGAGTTTCAGACTCATGTCTTTGGCCTTTCTGGCAGTAGTGGTGTCAGACCCTGTCTCCATTGCCTCGAGACAAAGAAAGATTTCCAGGTGGCACCTACGGAAAGGGCAACACGGGCAGACAGCAGGGATCTTGCCAGGCTGGCCACTGACCATGCTGCATCAGTGGAAAGTGGTGGCAACATCTCACACGCACGGAAATATAACAACACCATTCAACCCGTGCTCGTGCCCATTCCCTTGGAGGACGCATGCATACCCGCACTGCACCTAGCCCTGGGCATCTTTCCTCTCCTCTTCGAGTGCATGCTCACAGACACAAACCAAGTAGATATCGAGCTGGCTACATACATAGCCAAAGAAAACACAGAGCATGAACATAGTCAGACGTCATTCACCGACTTGGTGGACACGCACAAGGAATTTATTGCGTGCAATGCAGAAATCAACAACATGCAGCAAGTAAAGGCCACTGTCCACAATCAGCTTTGCTGGGCAGCCATGCACTTTCCCGAAGACGTGGAAACCCCACAACACATGCAACTACGCGCAGTGGTGGGTGGGCTGCAGTTGAAAATGCAGGGCTTGCACAAAGCCAGTGAGGACTTGGAAAGGAAGAAAGCAGAGTTGGAAGTAAAGCTTACAAAGCCAGTCAAAGACGGTCCATGTAGTAGGGCATACGAGCCAGTCCTGCAGGGACGCAACATCTGCCGTCAGCACTACCACAGCGGAGCCTTTATCGGTAATCATGTGCATCATGCTCTGAAGCCGTCTGCTGCAAAGCAGATTACTGCAGCACCTTGTCGCCACCTTGAGCAGCACCATCCTGATGCTGTAGGTCCCCAGGGTTCAGCTAACGTTGTGGCAGAACGGTATGCTGCACTCTGTACAGAATTTGCTTCCTGTCGAAATATTTATAGCGCCAGCAGCAAGTTGTCAGACATGGAGATTGAGCTCCTTGAATCCAGTATCGTCACATTCCTGTCCTCCGTGAGACGCGAGCTTGTCAGTTGTGGCCTTGCCCGTATAACGCTCAAGTTGCATCTGCTGGAAAAGCATGTCGTTCCACAGGTTAGGCACTTCAGTACAGGCCTGGGCCTCTACGGGGAGCAGGGCGGAGAAGGCATTCACGCCGAATTCAACACCCTCAACAAACAAACGTCACTCCAGCGTCGTGTCTCCACTGGATCGCCTGCACACCAGCATGAAGCAGCACTTCCTCACCACTCTACCATCCAGCATCGCTGTTACTCCAGTTGCTCCGACACGCAAACGAAGTAAAACGGCTTGACTTCCAGCCAACACGTTGGTCGCTTTCTGGCTGATGTAAGTGCTCTATTTCCACCCTATCTGTCGATCTGTTCTCTTATTTTTTAACTGGAAAAGGCTCTCACTGCACTCAGAGAGTGGGCTTGGGGTTCCATCATTGCACGTTATGATGGAGTGGGACTTTCAACGTGCCAAACGTGTTGAGTTTGATATTCTCCACCAAATATCTTCTTCAACTAGAAAGTACAAGAACTAGAAAACAACAAACGAGGCGAAACTTTTTGTTTATTTTTGGCCAGAGTGGGGACGCGTACACATTTTTGCTGTTGTCAAGACCGTAACCATGCCCGGCGCCATCTTACCAAACGCCCACGCAGAAACAGCAGTGGCACTGCTGTGCTTGCATTTTCCCATATCCTTTTTCGGCACGCTGCTTACTTCTGAGGCCTTTGTAGCGACCTCGCTGCATGACGTCAGCTCTCTCTCTCTCTCCCCCTCTCCCCCTCCCTCCCTCCCTCCCTCCCTCCCTCCCTCTCTCTCTCTCTCTCTCTCTCTCTCTCTCTCTCTCTCTCTCTCTCTCTCTCTCTCTCTCTCTCTCTCTCTCTCTCTCTGTCTCGTCTTCACCATTGTTTATAATAGTTGTCTTTTTTTAAAAAGTTTTTATGTTTATTGTTTTATATTGTGGCGGAGAACTCACGTTTCCAACAGAACTCAGCGTTTTGTTACAGTTGTTCCCATAAGCGAAGTTGTGAACCATGCTTGCATGGTTGACTCCAACGCGTACATGCAAGTAACAATAATAAATCGTAGTTCCCACAAACTGGTGACCCCGATATTAGGCGTTCAGTGTTAGCCGTCACCTGCACCTCACGTACACGTTTGGTTTTGCATTTTTGAATTTCGCCTTTCTGGACATCACCGGGTATGTCGACGACACCATCCCGCACTCTTGGACTTGGGGCGAGGTTCCGCACTGTCTGCTCTCAGCTCCACCTCGTCTGCTTCTCGCTCCGTTGCCGCCAGGATGTCTACTCCTGCCGAAGCTACTCCCGCATCCGTCGCTGCCGTATCTGTGAAGCTCCCACCCTTCTGGGCACCCGGCCCTGAGCTGTAGTTCGCCCAAGCTGAGGCTGCCTTTCAGATCAGAGGCATCACCAAGGAACTTACCAAATTCCAGTACGTGGTAGCGGCTCTGGACTCTCAGGTGGCGTCTGAGGTCCGAGACCTCCTGATTCGACCCCCTGCCGCCGACCCGTACTCAGTCCTCAAGCGTGAGCTGACCAGTCGCACTTCAGACACAAAACACAAGCGCCTGCAGCAGCTGCTCAGTGCAGAAGACCTCGGTGATCAAAGGGTTCAAGATCAATCACAATCGCTGAATTTTGCCGCAGCATTAAACGATGGCAAACGGCTCCGGGGTGTAAAACAGCTCACAAATACCATCCTGGCCACATTGTGGCAGATGTGAAGTTTACAATGTCTGCTGCTGAAGTAACGACGCACTCCAGTACGTATATGCGCAATAGGGCTATGGCAGGGGCAAGCGGCACAGGGGTTATTCCAAACGAGTTCTTACGCTCCAAGAACGAGTTCAAGTGATCAAGTAATGGGTAGGAAATAATCAGCCACGTTCTATTGTTGTGAGCTACAGCGTTTCCACTAGCTGCTGCTTCCTGTTCCTATTGTGTTTGAAGGAGAGCAGGCACTGGACATCACCAAGAGAAGATGACAGTAAGGAAGACGCAGATCTATGGCGTACAGAATGATAGTGAGTCCATCAGGGAGCGGTGGAATGCTGGCAAACACAGCAGCGCAAAGTACTCCTGGACCTACACCAAGCAAGCCTTGAAGGGGACCTCAACACTACCGGGGTGAACTCCCTGGTTGAAGGTCAAGTCGTGTACATGTAATTGCAGACAAAGCACTGGAGTGTACAGGTCATGTGGACCGTATTCTTGCAAAGGTAATCGTAAAATTGGAGCTTTGCTGAAGACGTATGTTCTTCATAAAAACAGTTTATATTCGTGAATAGACAGAAACTGCTTTGATATCCAAAAAAGAGAGGACCATAAGTTTACAAGTTCTCTGTTTCGTCCAACACTACAAAAGTAACAGTTATAAGCAGGATACTGGTGGCTCACCAGTATCCTTCCTGTACTAGTGTTAGTGTGGGAGAAAACGGATAACTTGCTTTGATATCGATTATGCTTATTCCTTCATGAAACTTCACTTCTTAATTAACACGAGAACAGTCTCTTTACTGCGATTCAAATTTATATCACACCACCTTCACTTTCCCCCCTTTCCAACTCCCTCAACTTATGAATATCAGACATATTGTGTGGTTTGAATGAAGATGCAAACGGGAATAGTCTGAAGAAAAAATAGACTGTCACCACCGGGACCTGAACCAGGAAGGGCCTTCGCATGAGGCCAGTGATGCTCTAAGTTTAACCACTGAGCTATGGTGTAGCTGTCATTCAAGTATAGACCGTTCAACATTTTCTTCAGACTTCGAAATTCTGACACTTATTTCACGAACTACCCCAGCAATACTTTGCAACTGAATCTTCGTGTGGCTATCTGGTCGATCCTGGCCTACATGTGGTTGCTGCTACAGCACTCTACCTATCAGGCCACATGTACAGCATACTACCGTCCCAACAGGAAAGGTAAAAGATGTTTAATAGTATAAAATATTTATTGCGATGCCCGGAAATAAGAAGGGATGGACTCATAACAAGCAGCGTTCACTCACCCTTCAGTGTATTCAGCTTGAAGCAGACCCAGGTAGGACTCCCATTTGTTACCAATCACCTTCCCGCAGGTGAAGCAGCGAATTGGAATAATCATATTGCAAGGAAGGAGAAACTTCCTGCACTCACTCAAGCATTATTGACAAAAGGACCAGGCGAAAGAAAGTCAAGAATGATAACGTCGAAGAGTTTTGTTTGGTCATTTTGAAATGGCCGTTTCGCCTGACGTAATCGGCCCTAGTTTTTGCACTGTTGAGTGCAGTCGGAGCATGCTCTTGTCGAATCTGGACGCATCTGGACTGTTGATCAGAAAAAGCGGAGTTTTGTACATGAAAGAAATGCTTTTCAAAAAATTTCAAAAAATTGGTCGCAAAAGTACAGTTTGGGGATTTCCCTGGCCGAAATTATGTGGGTCAAGCTTGTGCAATGTGCATACACTGATGAAGCACAAGACATACTCTACCTACTGTACTATCGTCACAGTAACATCTACATGTCTTGCTGGGCATTGCAAATGGTGTCCTGTTCCTCTACTCTAGGCTCTACTTTCTCGCACAGTCAGCCATGGCCACCGTCCTAGTTCTCCTGTGTAAAACGTGAAACTTATCACACTTTTACTAACAAACATGTGAAGGACATTGAATTAGTTTGACCATTTCTAGCAGTGGCAGTGTTGGAGCATTCCATTTCAAAAAAATGTCTAAACTACTGGACTATGAGGCTCAGATGTTCACAGAGTTGCTGGCAGATGATGGATTACTCATTGCTGGCAGGTAAGTCGTAACTCTGCATTATTTGAATTTCGACCAAAGCTTGGCTTTCCAAAATTATTTCCAATTTAAAAAAGAATATTGGGACACACTCAGTTTAAAATTAGAAATACCTCAATGCATGTGTCAGGGCTTTCTTTTGGGAATACTAGTCATGACCATTGCGCATGTAGGGTTCTAGCTAAGAATATCTACAGCCTACCGAATGAGCAGTGACATGTGTGTTCACTATGTCGTACTCGCCGCCATTCCGCAAATGGTATTTTGTGTGTACCGGCCAGTAACTTCCTGTGTGCTCATGGTATCATTTTGCATCATCGTGTTAGGGGCCTGGGTGTTCATCGTCTCGTGTCGGCGCTCATTCAAA